CCCCCCCCTCTGTCTCTCTCTCATTCTCTCTTACTCGCATCCTGTCCCAAAAAAAACTTCCTTTCTCTCTTTTTATCCTATCCTGTTTTTCAATCCTATATCTTTTGGTTTTTTTGCGAGAAAAGATTTAAATAGAGACTATGCGCTTTGGCCTGGAACGTACACCACTGTGCTGTTCAAAAGATGTCCGACTTTAAATCTCATCTCATGATTACTTAATTTTAATCTTTACTTTCTGTTTCTCTTCATAATTTTTGTCTGTAGAATTTATGCAGTTCGTCTTTATTTTAAAATTTGTATTTATACATTAAGAACTAAAAAAAAAAACGCTTTATTAAAATGAAAAAAAAACTGTAATATTTATGAAACGTTAACACTTAACGATGTATCAACACGGAAATGACCCGAAAACCGCGTAGCTTCTTTGAAGAAAATACTCGTGGAAGCTTCAAAAGTATTATTCAACATATAAATATATAGTCATTAAAATGTATAGAACATAGAAACATTTTCCATTCAATACAATTCTTATTGACAAACATAAGATAATATCTAATTATTTACATATTGTTGTGCATATTACTTACTTGTAAATAATTATCAAAAAGCGTAAACAAATGAAAAAAAAAACCAATAAATTTGTTAGTAATAGCAGTAGTTTCGCCGATTTAATTGCAATTTTGCAATTAATTATAAATGTTCAATATTTGGTTGTTACATTATTCGTATTATACTTATGTATCTTATTTATTTATTTATTGTTTCATATTTTATAGCGTATTTGTTTAATAAATATCTTAATAAATTTTTGTATCAATAACTTGAAAAATATAAATATTGTATGCATGTTTTTTTAAATAATAATTTAATTAAACCTTAAGATAATCGCAACATGATTATTAGTTTGGTGATATTTTCAATATAATTTACTCTCACTTGATTTTATGTCAGTTAATATTGAGTCGGAACAAAAGTTGTAACGCTATTTTATTATTTATGTCAATCCGTTTTTAAACAAATTTGATAATTATACCATTCGATAGAATAAAGTTTCTACTTTAAAAGAATATGTTTTTTAAATTACAGAACAAATTTTAAAACGAGTACGAGATGATAATGAATTTATACACAATCAGAGGCAAAATCCTTTTTGTTATTTAGTCAGATAACTCGGTAACAAAAAATTTTTTTAATTAAAAAAAATTTTATAGAAAAAATTTTAGGTTTTTACTTTAAAAAGTCCAAAATTTTCGCACTTTTTTTGGCACATGACAAAATGAGAAGAAAATTTCCCATTTTGTCCGGCTCGTAGTTTTTTATATATGTAAAAATTACCAAACTCATAAAAATTCAAAAAACATAATCTTTCGAAAGTACAGATTTTAAGCTTCAAAATCTTTTTATTTAAATTTCGCATTTTTAATGAAATTGCAGCTGCTTAAATTTAAAAATTTGTAATGTTACAAACTTTTATTCTGATCCAATATTTTAAAAAGCTTACAATTGCATACGATAAATACAGAACGTAATTTACTTGAACCACGAGCTTATCTGTTTTTTTATTTTACAATAAATGTTCAACGTGTACAAGAAATAATGATATTTTAAATCTATATTATCTTTAATGACGAAATTCGATGGTCTTACCGGAACAGATAATTTATTGAATATTTATTGTAAGATAAAAGCTTATCGAAATGGCAATGTATCTGTAGCGCAATAGATTTAAAATGATTCGATACTGTAAGCAGAAAATAAACTAAAGATAAAATTAAATAGAACATTTCATCATGATTCATCGCAGACGTAGACTTTTCATATGTAAAATGTGCTCAGAAGCTTTTTACTCCAATCCGAAATTCGTTGGATATATCAAGTTTTTATCATTGTAACGGATATTCTCGAGTAGATCGAACACAATTGAGTGGAATAACATTTCGTCGTAATATCAAAGCGGAAAGTCGAACATCCTCTTTCAGCACAGGGAGACATTAAATTCGGTGCACTGGGAGTGAGACGGATGGAAAGCGCGCGAGCGTAAAGATCATTTAACAAATATATTCATATTATCGAGACGAGCATTACACGCCCGCCGCTTTTATTTTCAGAAAATCGCATATGCATATGCAAATAGCCAAATGCGCATGCGGCACACTTGTGATACTACTAAACTTACTATCATAGATTTTTCTCATTTAATCTCTATTTTATTCTATTCATGATTAGCTCGTAAGGGGATACGACCTTACCAATACAATGCTAAAAGTTTACAAGTATACAGGTCATGTTATTACAGTTAATAATTTCATTTATTATCGTTACAATCATTATCAACTTTACGTCTATTATCTTATTACTTCATACTAAAATATGATAAAAGTAGATCAATCGTTTCTCTCATCGTACCGTGTGCGAGATATTATAAAAGCATCCCAACAACTGTAGGAATTCCATTCTAACTAAAATCGAAATAACCTCGAGCAAAATAAATAATAGCGGCGGTAATCCTCCCTCATCTTGCGTCAAAGAAATTAAAAACTTTGTTTATATTATTTCGTCTATTTTTTTTTTTTATTAGTAGCTCTCAAAGCAATCTAATAAGATCTGAAAATCATTACTCTCGATCACGTGCCTCGAGATTCGATGATCAAAATAATTACACGTTTTATACGACTTTATTTATTCGTTTCATCTTCTAGCTAACTTGCCCAATTTGCTAATGCACTCGTGGTTTTTTATTAAAAATCACTGATCACTCTCTCGATACACTCATTTCTTCTCAGTACTGTGTATTTTCGGATCATTGGATTATGTGCGTGTGTATGTAAGAATCGTGGATAGTATATCTGTCTGCGTGTGATTTATCCCGCTAAGGCGGTCTCGATTCCTCCTTCTCATTCTCTCCTCTCGTAACGATTGAAATATCAGCCCGCTGCACAAACCTTAACATAAACATATTTTAGAATTTTCCTTATATAAAACTCACTTGTTTAAATCTCTACATTGTTTTCGCATTACTATATACGTTTAAGATAATAATTATCTTGTCCTATCAGACTCGCAGAGAAAATCACCTTGTAATTATAATTTAATGCCTTAACTGCTTCTATGTAAACGTAATTTAGAATATATCTCGTGTGTGTATAACACATTTGTCTCTTATATTAATCAACTTTGTCCCATTTGAAATTATTTTTTTACTGCCTTATACTCGCGCCCACACGTGTGGGCGATTATCACACTACCTGAGTACAATATATACCGGCGGCCTCTTCTTTATTATTTGACTCTTAATATTGCTAAAGAAAACGTTAATAAAGGATTGATTTATAGAGATTTTCGAGGGAAATCGTATATCGATATTTGTTTCTGGTTCTTTATAGAAATTACGTTACTTGTTGATCGATATTCAATTTTATTTGAAACACAGCAAGATCGATTTGACAAAAAGTAGACTCAGGCAGTGACGAAACGATACCTTATCGCCGAGAATATATCCTTTTTCTCTAATTAATTCGACCCGTTATCATGGCTAAACTATAATGTTCCTTGGTAGATCTCTTGGTTTATCGACAAATAAATGCCTACTCTGTCTATCGGTCTTATTTATCTTATTGAACGACGCGATTCCGTTGGAGATTATGTGCAATTATTATTAAAATAATAATAATAAAGAAGAGGAATTGCGCAATGTTCGCAATTTTAACAATCGCTTGGTGATTAAAATGCAATAGCCAATGATTACACGTCATGTGTACGAACTAAAACATACCCTAATAATTAAAAACGGCAGGAGAAACTCATATATATCAATAGAAAAGTATTTTCCACGATAGATTACGATACGAATAATAAGTAGTTAAGTGTAATATTTAATTATACGACCAGTCTTTAGTGTGCGGGACGCTAAAACGTGCGCTTAACGTTAAAACAGACATTTCACGACGTCCCCGGAATTATTTATACATTTAAGGACATTTCTTTAAATATCAAAATACTTAACTTGCCTGACAAAAAAATCTAACTCGCATGCTACACATTCGCTTGTAGGATGAAAAAGGATGAATCCGCGCATTACCTAATTAAGTTAATAGAGAAGAAAAACGACTTAACTTAGTGGCTGTAATATATTTATAGTTTCTTTCTTTACGCTACGTTTCGCTCTATTGACTGTACGTTAAAAAAGATAGTTTAACACAAAATCGTCTAAATGCATAAAAAACGAAAAGAAACATTGGATGTTGTGACGAACCACACAGCCGAAAAGAAGATAGACTCTTAATAGATCTTAAGTTCAATCATTTATTCTATATATACCTTGATAATCACAAAGTTGCCGAAACGTTGATGTGCAATCTGAATTCCACGATATTTAATAAAAACTATACAATATCGTAAATCGGCATTTACATATTGTGTATCTATTTAAACTTAAGGATCTGAAGAAGGGAGAGATTGCATAATCTTATAAAACTTGGTATATATTACTGAATATTGTGTTAAAAAAACCATAATCAATTCGAATTGCTTGCATTTTTTATACTTATTGTTAGCCTTTTTACTTTCTTTCTCTTCCACGCTTGAATGTACATTTATCTCTTTTCAAGTGCAACAATTTTGAGAGATTTTAAGTAAACAGACCTAAAAAATGTCCAAGTAACGTTTAAGAGACTTTTATGATCCCACTTGTTTCTCCACTACTATCCACTATTATTCTCCTCTCTATTTCCATCATCTAGTTTATCTATCTTGATGGCATGTCCAAGGTATTCCTCTGTCACTGGTATTCCTCTGTTACTTGCAGAGTATAATTATCGAGTATGATCTAAATTTTTATCCGGACTTACAATTTTTGTCTTTTGGAGATTCATTTTCTCAACTCTGTCTGCGATGCTTCTTTCAGCTCGCTCAGCATGCCTCCAAGCTCATCCAGATCGTCACTCATATCAGTACTATAACGTCCGCCAAACGTAAATATTAGAACTTATTTTTAGAAAACTTTCTCACAGAGTTATCCCTCTATTATATTAGCATCTCCATAAGACATTATTTAAGACTGTCCTAAAATAAGAATGAATATCGTTATACTCTATAACTCTCCCTCTCTCCCCCCTCCTCTCTCTCTTTCTACCTTTCCTTCTTTCCAGCGTTTGAGAGAATAATTATCCTCGAACACTAAATAAAGCGAAGCTTAATAATAAATAAAACTAAACAATAGCAATCTCTCTCTCTCTTCCTCTTCTCCCTTCATCCTATCAAATTGTTATTAAAAAGTCAAAAACTCGATAAAAAATTAAGTGTGTGATACAAAGTGAAGAAAAGAAATAAATTATACGAGATGAAGCATTTGTATGTACATCTGTCGAAAAATATATAAATTATGAGTTTTATATGAAAAATTGTTATGTTATAATATATTATATATTATATGTATATAAAAATTGCATGAATTCGAAGGGGTCACTATATAACATATAAATTTATTTTATAAGTAGAAACATTTTAAAAAGAAGAATGCTGTAAATTTTTTATCGAATTTTTTCATGGAATTTTTTAATTTGATATGAAACTTTCATTGTAAAAATAAAAAAATAAACGTTAACATTATAATCTTCAGCTACTGTTGTTCACCACAAATCGCAATAATATGGAAGATTTTTACTGGCAAACAATATTTCTGCGAATCTATTACGAATCGTGAATTGCAAATCAAGAAAATTACATTTATACATCAGTTTATATATCTCATCATTTATATATCTTGCCTTTCTATTATAATCATTTTAATACGATAAAAGTTATCAATTCGATCGCTCCGTTTCTTAAAATTGTGATTATCGTAATATAGAACAAAAAATCTAACAGTCTTCAGTAGATATCAAATACAAAGATCTTTTTCAGAGTTTAATGTCCCGTAAAGTGGAAATAAGAAGTGACTCAATTTACTTAGATAAAGATGATGGATTGTTAAAAGTATCGTAATAAAGGCGTTTACTGAACTTACAGCCTCCTTACGCGGGACTTCCCCTACTCGGCATGTAGCGTACCCCTCCTTTAAAACAAAATAAATACGAGCGATTCAGAGCAGTAAGTATAGATGAATATAAGACAGGGAGGAAAAAGAGCTCAAAGAAACAGTAATAAAAAAAGAGAACAACAACAACCCTGAGAGCAAGTCGTACAGTTCGCGAAAACCGCGAATGAGGCAGGTAGTAACAACGGCTAGAATCAAAGTATAGCTTTCCTATATACTACCTATTACATTAATTAGATGCGTCATCTCTTGTATTTAAAAATACTAATAATATTGCGTTAAATATAAATATATTATCTGTTATGATTAGTAATCAATTATTCGAATAGTCTCGCTCTAAAACCTTCACACCCTGCCTTCGTTTTGTGTGATTTAAAATTGCGTTTCCGTTCGTACATAGCTTCTCCCAACTATACCACCGTCTCATAATCTAAAATATATGTATGTACATATAGTTGCGGCAAAGGCAGTCATTAACTCTTTGTAACCCTTTCTTTTTTTCCCCTCCTCCGCGCTAGTATTTAAATTTACTTTTATCCGTCTGAGACTCGTTAATATAATAAATTAATTAGCTCGTTTATACCAATCATTAACAACGCATCGATTATATTTATGTGTCCTGTACAATCAGAAGCAATAAAATTGCGACGCTTTTTTCTGATGAGTTTAAGAATGTGCGATCAAGTTCAGCATACAAATTCCTCTCATGCAATAAATAAATATAGCGTCTACAATAGTGTTTGTCGATCATTTGCAAATAATCAGATAACGTGACTTCTTTCTTTCCCAAATAGCAAATAAATATTTTGTTTTTTAATATTTTATACAAAACTTGTGATACTTGTAAAAAAATTAGTATTTATATGTTATATAATATTTATATATGTCATCATATGTTAACACATTTTATTATGTTACATATTGTATAGACACCATATATTATTCATTGATTGTACATGAGAGGAATTCGTATCCTAAACTTGATCGCGCATTCTTAAACTCGTCGGAAACAGATGTCGCAACTTCATTGTTTTTGACTGTACAAATGAAATATAATAACCATTTTTCCTTAACACCTCGCATACACTTAAGATTTTTTAATTCACGCTTTAACTTTAGTTAAAAATCGATAAGAGTAAGGAATACAATATTAGTAGTAATAATTATAATTGATAAATACTAATGGGTCTTATTCCGCATCGTTATTTATCGGTATTTATTCTATAAAATAAGTTGTAAAAAACAGCCGTAGATCAAACACGTCGCTATTATTTGCCGTTCCCTCCTTTGCAAGTTAGGTATTAAATAACGCGTTATTTATTTAAAACAACCATAGTGTTTTTTTCATCACTTTTTCATCTATATATTTTTCTCTTACGAATTTATCGTCTGAATGTTCGATTATATGTTAACTATTTAATTCTTTAGTTGCAAACCGCATATATAGTATATATATATACATATTTCCAGAATAAAAAATTTAGATTAAAAATTAGAATTTGCTTTTATTACAATGTTTTTAACCTAAGTCAGATAAACGATAAACAAATAAAAGTTTGAGTAAAGCATCATCAAAATTTTTTCTTATTAAAATTTATAACACTGTTATATCGTATATATTAGAATTTTATGTAAAATATATAACTTAAAATATAAGTAATTTATATAATTTATATAAATTTATAATTATGATACATTTTTAGTTTGTTTATTCAGAATTTTAAAACAGCTGCAGCTAAAGAGTTAATTAGTTTACTTCTTTTATGCGCATTTTTAAAGGTAAAAGTGTATGTGTGTGAATATGTATTCATGAGTGTATATGTTTATCTGTATGTGTTTTTTCTTTGTATTACTATAATAATTAGGGTGTAAAATTGGTTGTTTGATTGAGCTCTCTAGTTTTTGTTTCGTTACGTGTTTAAGTGTGTTATTGCGTTGATCCCAGAAATTCACACGAGCTGCGTTTGTTAAACACTGCACTCGTTTCTTTTCATCTAATTATCAATGACAATACTGACCTTTTTTCTCCGCGATATATTTCATCGCAGATGAATATAAAGTTACATCAGATTTATAACAAAATGCAAAATGCAAGTTCTAAATTCAAAATCGATATATTGATCGAGATATATTAATAAATATCATAAAAAAAGAAAAAATTGACTTATTCTGCAGCTTTGATGCAACGCGATTCAACACTTTATTGTCAGGATACATAACAAGCATTAATGATATGTGAACGGCGAAACAAATAACGGAAAAATACAAAGAAAAATAAAATTAGCAGTCAATCATCTTGCACTTAAGATACAATGAAGCCTTACACTGTCATTCGATGGACAAGGAAAACAAAATAAATGGACAATAGTAAATTACGTTATATGAGATCACATTTATAACGCTTAACGAAATTGCTGGATTCTGTAACCGTAATCTATTAATTACTTCTTTATGTGTGGTCTATCTTGGTGAATTATACATTAGCATAATACTCGCCACTCTCATCGATAAAGTAAGACACAACGCGACCCGCTCGGTAATTAAACATGAGCATTTGGAGAGCACTCTTCCGAAATATTCCTCGTTTAGATCTATGGTAAATCCTACAGAGTAAATACAATTAAGTCATATATTTAATCAGGTAAACTTTTCAGGTCGATATCCCCCATCGAGACATATCCACATGATTACAATATATCCCTCCCTCCACCTTATCTATCAATGATCTCTCATTCTACTGATCTAAAATTTAAACACTTATAAGCTTCATCGCATATTTCATAATTATCGTCGATAGTAATAATAGTGTAATAGTAATAGTGTAGTTGTAGTACTTGCAGTAGCAATAGCAAGAGTAAACACTCATAAGTATTAATAGTAATAATAGATGTATATAATAGTAATAATATAGAATTAATTATAATAGTAACAATAATAATCGTAGCCTTAAATGTGCCTAATAGTTATTATAAATCGGAGGTAAAAAATAAATCAGTTTTCACGTGCATTTTACGGTATGGTCGAACAGAAGCCAGTCCGACGGCCACACACTAAGTTCTTATAATACAATTTGTAAAAATATTTGTAATTGTTTGTCGGTTTTTTTCTTATCCCTTCCCTTCCGCGCTTGGTATAATTTCCAAATCGTTGGAAGAATAGGAAAGTCGCTAAACTAATTTAAGAAATCAGTATTCATAAACAAGAAATAATAGAAGAGAGAAAAAAGAGGAACTGAGGGAAATACGTATTTAAGATACTACTAGTGATATGACATGAAAGTAAAAAAGGACGTCTGCAGAAACCGCATCCTGCTATGTGTCAAAGATTTATATAAATATACATACACCATATTAAAATGATCTATATATTGTACACTATTTTGTGTAGTGTTCAGCCTGTGGGTCGTCTTACTTAATTATTTCATCAATTACTCATTATATCATTTTTCATTTTTCTTCGATTATCCGGTATAACAACTATTTAATAAATACAGGATCGTGGAGGGACGAGTGTCTCGAATGTGTAAGTCATTCGCGTTGACTTTCCATCAGAGACCATAGTTTAAATATTTCTTTCGTTTGTGTTCTCATTATTTGTTTTACATATACCGTCTGCTAACGGTTAGGAAGTGAACAAGCATCGAATTTTGTTCCCCTAAGAAGAATTTTCTTCTCGAACGAAAACTTATTCACATCCATAATAAATGCCATTAACGATTAAATGATTAGCATTCCTGATTCTTTACGCTCGCTTTTACTTTGTTTGCACATTTTAGAATCTCTTTTAGCTCATTATGTATTTTTACAATTTATTATCACGCTTCCTTTCGTCTATCCCAGTGCCATACAAACTTCACTTGCCTCATGGGTGTGTATTCTAACATTGTCAATTTGTGTATTTTACTTAACATTTAACATTTAATTTATATTTTATCTGAAAAGATCATGTATATATATATATGTGTGTGTGTGTGTGTGTGTGTGTGTGTGTGTGTGTGTGTGTGTGTGTGTGTGTGTGTGTGTGTGTGTGTGTGTGTGTGTTGCCGTTCTCGCGAGCGATCAATAAAAATCAATTTCTGATAAAAGCCTAAACATCTTTTTTGATGTTTCCGTTTGCCAAGCTTTTTTACAAGATATGTTACGATCGTGAAAAAAGATGTCTATATGCTAATTCGATCGCTCGCGAACAACATGCCGGCGTAAACAAGAGACATTCCGTTTTCTGTCGTCTGCCTGCAAATCTTACCAACTTTTTTAGCGAGCATTTTACTGTATAACTAATATTGTAATCCTAATTTGTGGTTTCTACAAAAATACATTATATAGTGCCAAATTCCTTAAACGACAAGTATCTTCCCTAAATAGCATTGTTAATGCATACAGAAACGTGAATTGACAAAGAATGTCTCATGTCATAACGCAGACTTTACGATCAGCATATAGTTTATGTTTATTTTGAATTTGAAGAAATAACCCACGAGCAAGGCCAAGCCATTCAGCGCATCTCTCCAACTCGAGTCAATTAAAATGGTCATGAGGTGGGCCACTCTTTAAAATCGAAACCTTGCTGGCCGGGTTTAGGAGCGCTTGCAGCGTACCCACCTTGACTGTTTTCGCCTCCTTGATACGAACGCTGAGGATAAGAAGTATCAGCATAATTACTGTATGCAGAATATCCAGTGTAATCTGGAGTCTTGGCTGAACTGCTGCTAGATCCTGGCGCACCTGAACCCGTATTTTGCCGCGAATACATATCACCTGCAACATTTGTACATAATAACTAAGTCATTTCGTTATAACAGGTTGTAAAAAAAAAACATAAAAAAGTAACATTAAACATCATATACTTAAAAAAATTATTAAAATTAATTATTTGCGACGTACATTTAGACGATACTCTACTTTTTTTATACTATCTAAATATTATAATATTCTAAAATCAAAGTAAATTATGAAATTGATACACAATAAATATACAATAGTTATTTTTGTACATAAAATAATATAATAAAAAATAGTATTAAAGAATATATACAAAGTTCTTTCTCTTCTTGCATTTTTCATGAAAAAATTTTTTTGAAAGTAATAAAGTATTGAGACATAAATGATCAAATATTTTCGCTAACAAAGATAAATTTTTGATAACTTTCAGATAATTCAATAAAAACTATTATTTTATATCGCTTGTGTAACAGATTGTTAAAAAAAATATAATAGTAATAGCTTTCTATTTAAGAGGAAGTCTTAATCATTCTCTTCTACTATTAATTTTTTTTTAGATATACTTCTATAATCGTACTTATTACACGCACGCACGCGCGCGCGCACGCACGCACGCACGCACACATAAAACTATATATGTGCAATATAAATATACATTAAACATATAATATTATACATATATACAGTCTCAAAACTGATGATAAATATTTCAGATATTAAGCAAATTCTTCGTAACATTTTAAAACAAAAATTTAAATAAAAAAATATTGAAGCTTTGACATATAATACAGTTTTTGAATGGGAAGAATTTAAAAATTATGAATGACGGGCTAGAATTTCGCGCACTCAGAAATAGCAAGATAAACAATGTGAAAATATTTCCTCGAACTTCATGTCTTTGACAATGACAAATTCAGCACCTTCACACTGATCATCTTCATACTTGCTATCTCTGAGCGCGCGAAATTTTAGCCCTATCATTCGAAATTTTTAAACTTCCTATTTGAAAACTATTATATCCTCGAAATCTTCTTATTAAACTTTTCGTCTTAATGTTACAAAAAATCTGTTTTTCAAATATTTATCATCAATTTTAGAACATTCTGTATAATTATATGTATATGATAATATATATTGTACATGTTTTAAATAAAACAAAAAATTCACAAAACTATATTGTTCAATAATTCTTCTCATAAATACTGCAAACAAATTTCATTCTATGAACATGTGCGTATAAAAAACTTTCACCTATAGTTTCTGAAGAATTATAAAATTAATTTATATTTAATTCGACTCTATCAGAACATCAAGATAATGAGATCAGTATTCCTATGTTTATGTACAATACATTTTCAATGAAGATCTTTATATAAAAAACAGATCCAATAATAAATTATAACTATATCAAAAATATTTTAAGCAACTTATAAAATATGACTCTTATTGTAAAAAGCACAACCCTAAAGATAATAAATCATATACTCGAGATAACTGCTATACAATCATGCATTTGATATCAAATAACTAATTTAAATTATCTACTATAATAATAAATGTATGAACAAGCTGTTTCAATATCTTAAATATCTAAATATCTCACATTTCATTATACATTTATGTTCAGAATTATCATTCATAGACTGTTTACTTTAAACAATATGTATTTGTTTAAATTACTTTAAACAAATATAAAAATGTTGACATATATAAATAATTCATATGTTTACAAATAACAAATTGATTATAAATAACATTGGTATCAATTGTAGATTTCATTACAGTTATAAGTAAATATGAGATGTGAACGTTAACGATAAAAAGCACTAAGTAGACATACATTTATTACACACAAGCAGATATTAAAAATACTATACTGATCTCAGGATCTTAAAGACGAATTGATGTCAGTTGTGTAACTTATATTTTCTTTTTAAATTTTTATAACAAACGCAAAAACAATTAATTGTTATTGACATTTCTTATAACAAATCACACTTGTCATTAATAGAGACATCAATTCGCCATTAGTCAGATAGGCGATAAAAGGAAACAAAAGGAAAGAATACAGCATATTATCCTGCATTACAAAAATTATCATAAAATATTAATTTTCTTAATTAAATTTCCAATGTCTGTAAAGTGATTATTCTTATTATTTATAAGTTATAAGAAATTATAACATGCTCTCAAAACTTGGGAAAATATCTTTCGAGAATCTATTCTAAATCTGTTATATGTAATAGTATGCAATATATATGTATATATAATTTTCAATAATAAATGGTTAAATAACCCAATAAATGGGTACTGGCAGGGTACATGCTTTTCGAGAATTTAAGTGTAAAAGATATTCGAAAAAAACGGACTGACAAAATATAATAAAAAATTTACAAAGGAAAGGAATATCTAGGATAGATTAGGACTCTAAAATAAAAAGACTTATAATTTAACGTTACGGCTCAAAAATTATTGTTTCTAATGCTCGAGGCGTGATCTAGAACATCGTGTAGCGAATAAAATATAAAATAATAAAATAGATATGATGGGACCAGATTAGCTAGGCGAGTGGCAGTGCGTCAAGCGTACAGCAAGCATTACTTTCGATCCAAAGAATGAGCAATATGCAACGAGTATATAGCTATATCCGATTATAATCACTCAATTCAACTTCAAGCAAAAGCTAGTATTTATATAATATTTTCTATATTTGCGCGCGCACACACACACGTGCGCACACACACACGCGCACGCACGCACGCACGCGCACACACACATATATAGGTGTATATATATATATATATATATACGTTTGCAGAAAAAATATAAATGTTAACATAAATACACACACGCACACATATACATATATATATTTATTTATATATAAAATTCTTTGATAATATAAAATTACTTAAATAAAAAAAGATAAGATTTTTTTAGGCCTATACACTCGTTGTAGATATAATACAATACAAATTTTTTCTACTTCCTTCAATCTTCATCATAATAATTGTCACAATATGTCTCAAACGTATTAATTATTAGAAACTCAAGTATGTGTTAAATAATTTTTTAATAAAAATTGTACATATTTATAATCTTACAGAAATAACCAATATACATTTCATTCAATTAAAAAAAAATGTATATATTTGAACTATTTTTTACTTTCTTTTTAAAAGTAGAATTATTGTTAAAATCTTACAACTATAAAATGTTAATATAAACATGTTATAAAAATAATAATAATTAAATGAAGATAAAGCACAATTAGAGTCAAATCGTAAATAAAAATAATAAAGCGGTTATAACATTGAATATATAATATAAAGTTAAAAAATATGTAAATACATCAAACTACTTAACATAAAATAAAATAAATGTACTTAGCCGCTTATGATATAAAAATATGTTATAAAAATTCACTAGGTAGAATATTAGAAATTGTTAATCAAATTATTGATATACAAATACTATCAGATGAAAATATCGCAATAAACAAACAGTTATGAGAATTGGAGGAAGTTTGTACACCAGATACAAAAAGAGAAACGTTCCATATGTTGAAAGTATCAACCCTTTGAGTACAATAAAACCATATATACAACAAAACATCGATGGTCTACAGATTTATATATTTATTCGGTGAAAATTATTTGCATGGCCTATGGTCTCATGTGTTCGGTGAAAGTCTGCGTACCCATGAACTCATGTATTCGATGATGTCTCTCCTTCATATTCTCAATGCAAACAAAATACATATTCCAATCACAGTCGCGAAAACCAACTGCATCCAAATGGAACGTTCAGCTTGTAAGTGCTCCGTACTCAAAGAGTTAATTCTTCCGACCACTGGACATATAAAATTAGACTGGTATAAGAAATTACATTGCTGTAGCTAGGCGCAGAATTAGGTCAAAATGGAACTAATTGCAATGCCAAAGGGTGGAAAGAGGAAAGTTTGTTTGACTTGAGCTTGAAGACTCACCCTGCGGGCCAGAGGGGTTCGAGTTGGAGTTGGGCTGCGAGGAGTTAGGCTGAGGGGGCTGGGGTGGGGGCTGGGTCCCAGGAGGAGGCCCATTCTGTGGCATGTTCCAGGAGCTCCAAGAGCCCCCAGGCCCGCCTCCCGCAGCCCCGCCAGTACCCGCCGTGGGCCCGTAGCCCCCTGAAGCGGCCGCCGCCGGCCCACCTGCGATCATCAACCACACAAAACACGTGTCACCGACCGCATGTCATAGCTCATATCATCTTTCTTACCACTCTTTTAAATTTCTAATTCTATTGTTTCTTCTAACTTGTTACAAATATAAAGCTGTCTCTATTTCTTTAATGTTAAGAATGCCTCTTCGGTGGCTTGAACATTCATGCTTGGTTCTCTTAATAGCAAGGAAGAAAAAAAGGAAGAATTAAAAGAAGCAAAGATAGGCGATGATAATAATTATAGGATAATTCAGGCAAATACACTCCAATGAAGAATACACCCTCTACTTCTTATATCATAAAACTGGAGAAACGAACAAATCTATCTGGTCGAGCATACGCATCTCAACACATCTAATAAAAAGTTAAAATAAATAATATTACAACCAGTTCGCAAACATTTATTAGTAAGTTTCATTGGTTTCATTTAACTTTTTGTATTTTAAAATTCTGAGCTATATAGCAAAAATTACTTTATTTATTGCTTTAATTAATTTAAAAACAAATAAAATAAATTTTATGTATACGTAAACTTTATAAAATGCAAAGTGCATTATTGAAATTACTCGAGGCCTTCAAATTTACAAATACGCCTCAGGAACTTAATTTAAATATACCTCATTCTTATATTTGTTGTATTAATTTCATCAATTTCTTCTTTTTCTGAAGACAATTTTGTGTTTAAAAAAGACAGTATTACTTGTTAAATAACAAATGCTGATATGTACACATATATTTTAAACTTACGTATATGTTTCCTAAATACATAGATCTAATATTTTATAAACTTTTTAACTTTTATAATTTTTAAATATATTAAACTCCAACATAACTAAAATTTACATAAATCAATAAATCAATGCACCTTCCTCTTTATTACTAATGTAGAAAAAAATAAAAGAAAATACTATTTTCTATAAAAAAAACAATGTAAAATTTTATTACCAAAAAATTTTTTAAAACAAAATATTAAAACTTGATTTTTTTATTAGAAATAAATGCTTTTTCAAAAGATGAAAATAGATTAGTTTCTCTAATATTTAATTTAATTAAAAATTAAAAAATTTAATTTTATTAAATATAAAATGTATTATTAAAATAAAATAAAGTTTAATTTCTATATGTAGGTCGTATTTTATTATATGTTTGAATTAATTTTATCCTTTTCTAATTTTTCACAAAAGAACACATTTCCCTAACGGATAAATTAGACCTTTCCTGAAACGCTTGACAAAAACACTCTTTTAAATATTATCAATGTTATAAAATAAAATTTATTTTACTAATATTTCTATGTTTTAATTTTACTCATTCTTGTTATTAGTATTATTACATAAGAAAAGTTAAAAAAAATCTTGGTTTATAATAAAAAAATAATTTTGACAACAGATTTTGATGCACTAACGTTCTAAGGAATGTAGAACGTATTTGCCTTAACTATCCTATGAAAAAATCGCTTCTTATAGAAAATATTATTAAACATGTGTATACAATATCGTAGTATAAATTACAACACAAAAGGTAGCTTTTCTATTTTATAATACATGAATGTGACACTTGTTATCGTGAAATGTAAGCATGTGACATGTTATCATATTCAATGTTAGTACTCGCTATCTCTAAGCATATTAGAGACAATATCCTATTTTTAATATAGCAATTGGTGCTTTAAGATAATTTAGTGTTAGATAAGTGGAGAGTAAGAATATTGTTCTAGTATAAAAACAGAACTTGTGTAAAGATTTAGATTTAAGACTTCTACCTATTTCCTGCGGTTATCTTGAATTGTGACATCAAGAGCAAGAAAATACATTAAAAAATTCTTACAAAATACATTAAAGATCGATAAAAGACACGGTAGAAATACTGAGAAAATCGCAAAGTAATTTACCATGAAAAGAATTGTCACAATCCATAATAAAGCAATTTTTTCTAAAAAAAAATATCTATATATAAAAATTTCGTAAGAAATAAATTTAAATTTCATGGTAAAGTATTTTTTTCTAATACGACAAAATGTAAATAAGAGTACAGATATGAATCTGTATCATAAGGGGTACAGATGAGTTAAATCACGCCTTTTAATTCTTAAAATATAAATAATTTGTAATAAACTAACATGTGCACTCAATATAATATATATTTGTAAAATATACCAAAAATATATCCTTTGTTTCAATAATAAATAAATAATCATATTTTTTAATTAAATTATGCCTACACATACATATATACGTATGTATGTGTATATACATATATATATACCGAATATAAACCGAAAAAGAAACAAATTATATGGCAGCTTTATCGAATTAAAATATTTTATTTTATTTCAAAATAAAAGAATTTTCGGTATATTTTACAAATGTATTTTATCAAATAGAAGTATTGTTTTATTGAAAAATATCCATATTTCAATATATTTTGCAAGAATTTTTTGTATGTATTTTCTCACTTCTGTCATCACAATACAAAATATATATATTTGTATCTAATAAAAAAATAATGTAATCTATTGACTATAAAAATAATAGGGAATTAAAATAATCATAAAACAGTTACTATAAAAATATTACATTATAACGATGTTACTGTTAGAAACAAAAAAAAACGATCATTATTAAGAAAAAATAATAATGTGTTAACGACGTTACAAGTAACACGTTACTTCCCAACTCTACAAATCTATATATTTGAAATTTTGTGGAAACAAAATAGAAGTTTTAATTCAGTCTAATGTAACAACAAACGACTCTTCATATATTTCATTTTAAATACATGTATATATATTAATTCAGCTATAAAACACAAATAATAACTCTATTCTTTATAACTAAATTGGATTGCTCCAAAACCTCGTTTTTACCAGATTTTAAATATATATATTTTATACCAAACTTTAATAAATATATATATATATATATATATATATATTTCATTTTAAATACAAATGTACACTGTGTTAAAATACAAAGCCATTCAATGATTTTTTAGATTGGTTTATACATTTAGATTTAACAAAAAATTAAGGACAAGAATCAATCATATTAAAGAATAATTGTTTTGTCTGCTAATGTAGTTGCTAGTTTAACAAATAAAGAACAGAACTTATAATAAATAAGTAGAAGTCTTAGATAACGAAAAAAAGACATGAAAAGAATTAAACTTGAAGAGAATCAAGCATAAAATCTACAAACCAAATTACATAGATCAATATTTTGAATACGCATATCTTTGAAACATATGTATTATGTCAATCCAAACCAAGCGTTAAAGTTTTATTTATAATACTTGAGATATTTAGTCAAAATCATGTCATAATTATATTTGTATATTTTACTATATAATAATTTAATTACATTTGCATAGTTACCATAAACAGTTACTAATATACAAATATCGTAAAAAATATATAAAAATCATATAAACATTTTACATCACTTATTATATATAAAATGTTTATAAACATTTTATGTACGTATATATACATATATATGTTATATAATGTACAGAACGTTCCAAAATTCGTGAATTAAAATATTACAATACGAAAGTTTTCAAAAAATTAAATAAATTTCTATTTTAAGCAATAATTTGTGACATGATTATCATGCCATGATAAGGCTTCAAATATAGCCAATTACAAACAACATTTACAAAAATTACGTTTAAACGCTAAGCGAGCGCTTGCTAATACTACCGCACATACAATTTTCGGACAGGTGATCATCTAAACGTTGTTCGTGATTGTCATATTTAATTAAAGCCTTATTATTGTACAAACTGTTATTTAAAATAAAAACTTATAAATAATTTATTTACTAGGTGTATTAGATACACCTAGAAAAATTAAACACTATGGATAACAAATTATTAGATTGAAGGAAAAGTTTTGTAGTTTTTGTTAGCTCAAAACTATATATACAATATTATTATATATACAATATTATTATTATATATACAATATTATTATATATACAATATTATTATTATATATACAATATCTTCTTCAAAAATAAACAAAATTTAAATTTAAGAAAAAGGTTTTAAATCTTGAAATCTCTACTTTTAAATGATTTTTATAATTTTTTAGTTCACGTAAATTTCGTAATTTTATATACATACAGCAAACTACAAGCTAAAAAAAAGAGAATTTTTTCTTCTCATTTTATGAGTTTGTCATGTACCAAAAAAGAATTTGCTAAAATTTTCGATCATCTAACGTGAAAGTTTAATTTTTTCCAAAAAATTTGGTTTTTTTAAATGTTCCTACAATTTTTTATTTCTGTGTTATTCGCAAGTTAAATAAAGAAACATTTTAATTTTAATTGCTCATAACTCCGTTAAAAATCATCGTACCGTAATTCTCTCTCGAATGATATAATCGCTAACTTTTTAAATGTACAACATACAATTTTGAGTTAATAAAATACCGCAGAACTTTCCCTCCAATCCAATATTTCTAAGAATATTCATAAAACTAACGTTATCTCTTTTCAAGTTATATTGAAGTTATACGCTCTGTTTTTTATAATATTTAATAATAATAATAATAAACCAAACACACAAGTCTGGGCTGACATAATTACTTTCTATTTTAACTTTCTTTGCATCAAAACCTCTTATATTTTGTCTAAAATCTTTCTGAAAACCTCCAGGGGGCATTGTAAAAGTAAATCGTATTATATTGTAATTTATAGATTTCTCATGTTCTTATCTTTTTCTGTGTCTTCTTTTAATCTCTCTAAGCAGGATGGAAAGGGATAGGAGTAGGATTAAAGTTGATATTTAAGTAAAATTTTATCGCTACCTAAAATATAACATAAACGAAGTTGATATTTTAAAGACATTTTAACAATTTCAGACGAATTATTCTAATTGAATACTTTCCAGTGCATGATAATGTAAGTGCATGTATAGATATTAATATTTTTATAAAATTTATTCCTCCAGTACACTAATTATATCAACGTCGTTTACCATCATGTACCCTGTACAAATAATATCATATAGTCATCCATTTAATATAATATTGTCAATTCCTATTGTTCAATGACTTTTTCTAAAAAAAAAAAAAATGTTCTTCAATTTTGCTAGTTGAATATCAGCTGTTAATATTTTACATCAACGATGTAATTAATAAAAGATCAATAAGAGAAAAAGAACACTTCTTTTACATATAATGTCAAATTTTTCTCACATTTGCATACTTCGATCAATAAGTTATTAATATCGGACAATGGTGTTAAATAACATTAAAAATGTCTCATACTATGTCGCAATCGTTTGAATCAAGATCTGGATTAATATTTGCTAATAAACAATGGGTGGAAAATGTGATTTTTCAGAATTATCCGAACTCACCATAACTTCCATAACCTTGGGTAGCTGCAGCAGGTTGAACATTATAGCTACTACCCCATTGATGCGGTGGCGGCGGCGGGATTTGCTGCTGCTGTGGCGGTCCTGGTGGCGCGCCCCAACCTTGAGCATTATACTGGGTGCTGTATCCCGCATATCCACCGGTTTGAGGACTGGTACCCCAACCCTGATATTGCTGCATCATATTACCAGGCGGACCCATGGGTCCACCCATCATGGGTCCACCCATCTGACCGTTTGGTCCACCCATAGGCCCCATATTTCCGGCCATTCCCATCGGCGGGCCACCTTGTTGAGGTGGGCCCCATTGACCCTGATGACTATCATTCATTTTGCTCGATGAATCCCGCGGTTCGGCTCTTTTAATCTCAACCTGAAATAAACAGATATCACGCAAATGTATATTAAAGTTCTCTTTTTGTAACCAAAATAATGAGGTTTTATATTTGTATCAATTGTTAGATCAATTTTTGGTAAAAAAAAATGATAGGAATTTATCATATAAAATACCTTTATACAAATTATTGTATATTTTAGGCTAACACGTTAATTAATTTTATACTCTGCACTAACGCTTGTGCTACCTCTTATATAAAAATAATATTTAACTCTAATTATAAAATAGAGATTCATTAATTGGACTTATTGTAAACTAACACATTTTGATTACTTACATATAAATATTTAAAAATATTCATTACACTTAATACTATTCAAATTATAAAATTAATCTAATTCTATCCTCAATTCTACGTATAAAATTAATATATTTATATATATATACTATTATTCGTATTAATAAACAATTTATGTGACTAAAATTCCTATTTAGTATTAATAACCCCAAGGGGGAACAATATTAACATATACTTATGTTCTATCTTTTGCATAAGGTCACACATATGATATGGTGATTGACGTGTATTGACGTGTTATACCTGCTTTCCATTCAGATTGACAAAATGTTCTGCAACACAACGGTCCACTGCTTCTTCATCCTCAAAGCTGAGAAAGCCGAATCCTGTCGTCCAAACGTGAGAGAATAATCAAAAAAATGCTCGCCATAACAATACGAGAAAGCAGTTTTTACAATACAATGCATAAAATATGCACATGATCAAAACCTCAAAAAGCAACTTACAACATCCAATCTTATAATACTTATTAAATAAATTTTGTCATTTACATTACTAAATTAATAAAACAATCGCTTTTTATATTGCACAATATAAATTCATGGTCATACTGTTTATGACATAACAAGATTTAATAAATCAAAAACAATAATTTAAAGTCATTAGAATGCTACTAATTTATTTAATGTACTGACAATTTCCTCAAAAAAGACCATATGCTAAGAGAGGCAGGCAGTAGGAACTAAGAGAGATTACAGTGCTACATGACTATTGGCTCAGCACATCTCTCTCATGTTGCAACAGATTTATCGCAATATATTATTAAACAATGTCTACAATAGAGTAATAAGTCTTAAGCCATAAAAAATAGATCAATCACGATCGAATGTAAAGAAAATAATAAACTACGATTAGTCAATTTCTTACGGCTTAAAGCTTACTACTTTATTGTAGACACTACTTTATTGTAAACACTGCGTTCAACTGTTGTGACTTTTAATGAGATACTTTGAATAACGTAAAATATTTTAATATTATGAAAAGTACAAAAAATTACAACATTGCACTATGAGTAAAAATCAGTAATTTATTTATTATGTTTACAATTTCATTTAAAAATTATCCATACTCACTTTTTTTATTATAAAATTAATTTTTATTATAAAAATAAATTCATAAAATCAAAAATTGGTGACATTTATTTATCATAAGTAATTATTATTTACTTCTTATTGATTAATGGCAATATTATTACGCAACAGATTGTAATTAATAATCTTTCTATATATAATCTAAATTAATATATATATATAAAAGAAATATATTTAAATTGGGTGAACTGTATCTAAAAGTTAAAATTAATAAACAACCGCAAATAATAATTTTAATAGTAATAAAATTAAACCTTAAAATTTTCTTCTTAAATTTATAGCACACGCCCCTACTTCTGTATTTCTATGTGTATAATCTGTGTATAAAAATTTTATTTTATAATATAATATACAGTAAATAGATTATAATGCATTATGATATACATAAGATAAATATTATTAAGGGAGGGATTTTCTCTTAAAAAAAAATATTGTGTTTTATTACTTTTTTATTTTCTCAAAATATATATTTAGAAATATTCTTGTAAAACTTTTAAAAGAATACTAAAAAAGTAATGAAATAGAAGTGGTTTGAAAGGAACATAATTTATATTTAACACAACATTAATATTGTAAATATAATATTATATATATTGTAAGATAACTTTTTTTATCTTGCTTTTTTTACAATATTAATGATGGCTGACTTTAAGAAGCTACTTCAGAAATAGGATATTTTAGTATAAAAGAAGGCATACGAGTATTATGTCCGTTTCTACTAATATAAATTAACCTTAATCTCGATTCAATTTACCCTTCACTTCTTTTTCTAGTTCAAAAAATTCAAAGGAAAAGAACAAGTTAAACCGAGATTAAAGTTGATCTATATTAGAAAAAATAAACATTATTATATAGCTCCTTGAATGTAATCACAAACATTTAACAAATCTTATGATATCAGTCTTTACAGAAAAATATTTCAAAATAATCAAGAAATAATGCTTGTACCTAATTGGATTTACTAAGGCTGCGTTCCACTTAAAGTTTGCAATGCTCATGAAATCATTTTATCCTTATTGTTAATTAAATGTTGAAAAAGACAAATGATGATCGCGAGCATTGTGAGCGTGAAATGAAACACATTTTAAGTATTAGTCACAACCTTATTTGTAAGCATAACAATGATGCTTAGCCAATAGTTTCTAAATATTTAATCGTTACTTAGTTCAGTATTATTATGACTATAACAGTTTTTTTAAGATAACATACGTTATCATCCATTTTACAAAAAATCATTTTTATATAAGTTTAATATAAATAAGATTATAATTATGAATAAAAAATACATAATTATAGATAAAAAATTACATAAATGAATTATTTGATCAGATTTCCAATACATAATAAACATCAAAAAGTACTCTAATTTTTGTACCATTGCATTTTTTGTATCAAATAAATCATAGTTCGCAATAATATCCTGAGTCGGCTCTTAGAGACTTGTCCGTCTAATTTTGATTTAATTCATTAAAACCTATAAATTACTTTTATTGTTTAATACATATCTAATAAAAAATTGGAACTTGTAAGATTTCTTCCTAATTACATAGCAAACTTAAGCTATGTATAGTCTACAAAAGCATAGTGTTTGACAGAACCTTATACTTAATCAAACTTAGCCAAAAACGCATTATTTATAAACTGTATTTAATTTAATGTAAAATGTCGCAATATATGTGTAACGTAATCACAAAAAAGGCAAAATATATTACACGAGATAAATCAGGATATGTAATGATTGCGCAATATTGGGTAAATTTAAATATAACTTTAAAATCTTATAACAATTAAACTGCGCTAAATTAAGAATATAAAAATTATTAATTCTCATATCTTATACAAAGTTTTATTGTACATCAGTAATGGGTGCATTGTAATCGTCAGAATTTTTGATCCAAAAACATTTGTTTTTTTACAAAATTACTTTCAATACCATTGAACATATATTTTACCTTTTTCATTTATTCCCTTATATTTACAATATAATAAAAAAACATTTTTCAAAAATTCTGACTATAATTGTAATCATAATAAAAATATAATTTATTCTATCGTTTCGATACACTATTCAACAGTTTCCACGACCCTCTTTTAAGTTTATAACATGTTTAAATTAAAAATGTTTTTTAAAATTAGCAAAATATACAAACCATGTAACTTTATTTCATACCAAAGAAAAAAAAAATAATAAAATATGCAACACTAACAAAAACGCCATGAAAACCATCAAACATAATGCATCAGTCTATGAGTGCATCTGAATATAAAAATCAACTCACCTCTTGATTTTTTCTTCTCCTGATCATACATTATGACCACTTCCATGACTTTACCAAAGCGAGTAAAATAAGATCTTAAATCAGTCTCCGTAACATTACTTGGCAAACCACCAAGAAAGACTTTCGGGAAGCCACCACTACGCTTTGGCTTTTGAAGAGTACGTGGATTACATGGTTTTGGATCAATCTTTAATACAAAAATATTAACAAGATATATTTCCTGTAACTTTCACGTATATAAGATCATTGTATTGTTTTAATCTTTAATTAGAAAAAAATAAAACATCACTAAATATAAGAGTAAAATGTGGCTCCATACAAGAATAGTCAATTTATAATCCAAAGGTTCAATTCCAATTCTTATTATATATACATATTACATAAGATTATAATTTTAATTAAAGAGTTAACAATTTTAAGTAGAAGAATACAAAGTACTGTAATAAACACAAAACTGTCTTTTTGGAATCATAAACATATGCGTCAGTAAACATGACTTTGCAAACTTTCTAAATAAGCAATATTAAATCTTATAAGACTGTGAGAATTTAAATTTCAAACCAATGAAAAACTGATAAGAATAGGTTGCAACGGTCGAGCTGGATGTTGGGTGCTTCTATATAATTGCGTGTAAATTTATATACTACATATGTAGATTTTTAATTGTGCGCCATATTTCTAAATAAGATTATGCAATCTTACTCAAAAAATTTACAGGGTCATATTTATGATAAATAATACATACTGTACGTCCATCAAGTTGATGAGGCCCATTCTGAAGGACCAAAGAAACATTAGCAGGATCACTAAATGTTACAAATCCAAATCCACGACTGCGCCCAGATTCGCTGTTTTTCATAACAACGCAATCAATGACCTCGCCATAGCGACCAAAGTAACGTTGGAGATTTTCTTGGGTTGTCTCCCATGATAACCCACCAACGAACAATTTTCTGTAACAAAATAAGATAGAGCATCACTTTGTGTTATTATTATATACTTATGTGAATTTATATTTGTAATACTTATATATAATTTTTATGATAAATAAATAACATATGTTGTTGCGACAGATTTTAAATCTACTTGAATGCTTATCTTTATTGGAAAATTACTTGATATTTTTAAAGCATGAGTCATACTCATTCTTCGATTCACTTTTATTCTGTACAATAATACTTAAAGAAAAATATTTTTGGATAAAGATATTACAAAACTGTTTCAAAAGTTTCCAAAAATAATATTTACATGTAGTTAATAGCATGTGTAATAAATATATGCTAACGTATATTTTCTCAAGCATATATTAAATAATTTTAATATTCTAATTAATATTGTACACAATAAACAGGAAAATTATATATTTTATAAATGCAAAAAGATTTATTATGAAAGTATAGATACTTGAAGCCCATCATACAAATCTCAAAGTATAGCTGCAACCATATTCTTTTAAAATTATGATTCAATCATGAAAAGAAACCAACTTGATACTTTCGTTTAAATATTCATGAGTAATAAACATGATAATTACATAAATTGCATTCTAAAGTAACCAGTTCTCAAGAGGAACACTAGAAGAGGTCGTGTTTGAAGAGGAGAAATGGTTATTCTAAAAAGATAAAACTTGCTGAATCATACGAAGCATAAATATGCCGGTAGCTGACGATATGCTCACGAATATCGAAATCATATGATAATATATCCAACAACGCCATTCCTCTCAGCCATCGTTTTAAAAACTCCAACACGCCATTTAGACTTATCGTACGTATCTACGCAACGAGTGCTCTCGTTACGTCCGCATGCTTTCCGACCGGCACGGAGGCGCTGGGGGATCTTCCAAAGGAGCGGGTCCGGTTGAGAATTAGAGCGTAAAAATAGAGAGAAACCGGCCTAAGAACGCGAAACGCTTTTGCGCATTGCTCTCCTGCGTTGCCATAAAAGAATGCGCGTGCGGTGCATGGGACGGATTGAAAAACGTGAGGAAGGGAGCGGGAATCCCAAATTTCTGCTGATCCTGAGATTCGAAGACAGCCAGACGACGCGAATCACGCGAATACGCGGCGAGTCAACCGGCGAACCTCGCGGCGGAGCGAGAAGTCGCGCGCCTTATCGTCGTCGTCACCACCGTCATCGCTAAAAAGGAAAAAAAAAAAAAGAGAGAGCCGCTAGCGTATCAGAGTATCGTCACTGTCTACAGCACAACGTTCCACGTCGTCACGCGACGGAATTCGAGAACGCGAAGACGGAACGTCGACGGAACGCAGAAAGGCACGAGGCAGGAAAACGATTTCTGCGACGCGCAAATAGTAGTTACTACGCGAAGGTAGCAACAACGGGAACGATGATGGCCCCGCCGAATATGGGAGCACGGAGGACGGCGAGGGGGGGCGCGCGCGATATGCTGTCCCGCAGACCGCAATACCCCGAACAATCTACTTACCCCTTTTCGTCGTCATCCATTTCGGTCTTCACTCTCATAATATTTCACTTAAAACTACGAGAACGCGGTCAATTACAGGGCGCGAGTGGGAATATGGCACGAGGCTTTAGCGCGGACGAGGGTAATGGCTCCGCACAACGCGACGTCGGGAACAAATGTAAACGTAACGAAGCGACGCGCGTCACTTCCGCCTCTCGTTCCACGACGCTGGTCAAATCAGCCTATCTGATTTGCAGGGCCGTCAGCACGAGGAACCGCGGGCGATTTTAACTGTTCGGCTAAATTCCTAGAAATGCTTTTTCTATATGCTCATCTTTATCAATGTAGATTGACTTAATTCTTAATTCTTTATTTAATTCTTGTACTAAAAAAAAAATTGCGGAAAATAAATAAATTTTAATAAATATATTTATTTAAATAATATACCAATGAGTAAAAAAATGGTACTTAAAATTAACAAATTGAATAAATTTTTATGTGATATGAGCTAATGTCCCATTGATACTATCTAAACAAATATTTATTAAAATTTTGTGATTTTTTTGAATTTATAAATTTTCAGTGTAAAAAAACTAGAAAGAAATAGTAAAACCAATTAAGATTAATATTTCTTAAATTATAATAATATATAAATATATTTATTATATTAGTGGAAACGGGCATTGGTAACACAAGTCGACACGATTATAAACGTCGTCCTGTTTTTCTTTTTTGTATTATATATGAATAACAAACACAATATTATACATATACTTATATAGTGTCGATTTATGTCACTAAATGGAACCTTTCGATTACAAACCCTGGGTACGATATAGTACTATAAATGTTTCGAAGCATTTGATTGATCAATCGGAAAAAATGTATAACTAATTCATCAGCAGAAAAAAATATTTCGAAGCAAACTACATTGGTAGAAAGAACTAGACCTGAGAATTTCAGTTGCAAAAACACGCCTACCTATAGGCAGCACAGAATATTTCTGATAGATACAAATAAATATATCTAATAAGATATTTTTTACTTGGATTATATAATGTCTCATATTAAATATTTTGGCAGTAGCATTTACTGTAACAGTTATATTAAATATTTCATAATATTTGTAATCAATGGTCCGTATTCAGAATGCGTTTTTATTGATAAAAGCGCGCTTTTATCTCTGGAATTCTATAGTAGAACTTCTATATGCGTAACGTAAACTATAGCATGTTAAACCGCTAACATTGTTATAAGCGCGTTCTGAATACGAGCCAATGTTTATAATCTGTGCAATCTATAAGAACCACATAAATATTTAAAAAATATTGAAAAAATACATTTTTTAAATAATTACAAATATTTAGTAAATAATAAATATTTTATATATTGTATGATGTTTGGGTACGATATATAACTGTCTCACTTTAATCATTTTTGTTGACATCAGGATTCGATTTATATTTCGCGCGAAGAGATACAGCTCGACCAGGAACCCGTGTTTCCCCGATTCCTTCTTCTACGTACGGTCCTGCAAGGAAAGCCGTTTATTCGTGGCATGCGATATATATATTTCGTGCGATATTCATATACTGCGTTCGTCATCCTTACTCGCCAACATTTCACTTGCTAGAAGAAATTTTAGCCGTATCGTCCTCCTATTTCATCATTGTTGGAGGCGAAAGTCATAAGTATAAAGAAGCTAAAAAAAAGAATATACTCATACTAGAGTATACAAATGTTAAAACGTCGCTTGAGCACATCAGTCATACCGAGTTCAACGATCTGTCGGCATAAGATCCGAACCGCGCTGTACCGCTGCCGCCTGCCGCTGATCTAAAGTGCCGCGCCGCGTTGTTGCCGCGTGCCACGCAGTTGCACGGCAGTGTCGCGCCAACAGCCTCCTCGTACTTGCTCCTCCTGCACTCGCCGAGTGCGGAACGGATCGCGCAGAACCGGCAGAATGACGTCAGAGCGAATGGTTGGAGCTTGGAAGGACGAGGGATACAGAAAGGGAAAAGGAGACTTGCGAATGTGCCGCGTTATAGGAAAATTTTTCTGAGAATTTTTATACATATTAGAACACTTTTCAATAATATTGAGCAACTCTATGTCTTTTCTTACAAGAAAACCTATGGAAGTATTTCCCTTCAATTTTGATCAGCTTTGAATGTACATACATATAATTTTGTTTCCTATATAGACAAAAAGAATAAGTATTTTTTTTTATAAAGGCTTAATCACACTTTTAGGAGGTGCAGCACATCCCCTAAAAGTTGAAGAAAATCGATTTTTTTTTTATATGACTATTCGTTTCAAAACAAATATCATTTTTATTTTAATTAAAGCAAATATCATATATAAGAAATAAAACTTACCAAATGTTCTGAATAAACGTTGAATGATTTGAAAAAAACTTTAAAATAATAATTTTAAAAAATTTGTTTAAATAAAAATATTTATAAAAAATAAAACAATTTTTTTAAATTAAGATTTTTAAGGGGTTGCTGGAGTTACCGACGGGACAATTATTTCGTATTTCTCATGCCATTTCCATTTGTGTTTTTCCTTTTATTCTGGAAAAGGATTTTTTATTCTATATAAGGAAAACGAAATTGTGTGTAACATATAACTTCACATTCAAGTGATACATAGGATGTAGCAGAACAAGAAATGTATGTAATATTTTACTTAATAACTTATTTAATATACGTAATTATATAAATATTTTCTTGATGTATGTATAATATTTTAATTGGAATTTTTAAAAATCTGTTTTATCGACATAGATTAAATTCGGCCGTCTCTCCGGTAGAAGTTGAAGTGAAACAGATATATGTTTGTTTCATTTTAATTTATTGCACCGTGTGCACTAGTTTTCAGACAGTGCAGAAACAAAAAACAGACCTACGGACGTGTTTCGGTCGGGTGTGCTTTACATTGTATATATTTTTGAAAGTGTTGCCGACTTTGACTGTGCATCACACAGATGCGTGTCCACGGATGAGCTCGTCTCGATTGTTCGTCATTTTGCACTTTTCGACGATTAGGGCTCTTATAACGCGCGTTATTGCGACCAGCGAGGCAGCGACATGACGACGACGCAGATGCCCGGGAACCGGTCGAGCAACGCCATTTTCGCGGGCATTGCTTCACCCGTTCGTTTTCATATTTTTATACGGTTTACTTTGAAGACGTGATCTGGCCGTATCGACCTCCTATTTCATTGCTTGAAGACTTGGAGACGAGAGCTATTAGTTGCTTTCCATTTGTATCAAACTCAGATAATTCTCACTTGTGAGGTCATAACTCAGTTGAGTGCACGTTCATTTTATATCTGGTAAGTGAGATTTAACTGAATTTTTACCTACAATTTGCACAAGCTCGAGTTACGAGACTCAGTAAAGCACCACGTGCTTTACTGAGTCTTGTAAATTTATATGTAAAAGTGAGGTTATGAACTTATGTGTATGCATAATGACCTTCTCACCAAAAGAGCAAGGATAAAATGATAAAAGAATTATAATTATTGATAGCAAATAATCGGTAATTATTTGAAATATAAGCTTCACCTTTGATTTCAGTGAAATATTAGGCTCAATCAACGCGTTTATTGCACGAAACGGAAAAATCTGGAAGAAAAAACGTTAAATCAGAGGCCAACGTTTTTCAGATTCTTTTGTAATATTTCATCGAAATCGAAGGTGAGATCCGTATTGAGAGAATTTCTCAGTTTAACGCGTTTTACATACTGAACAATGACGTCATTATCTGAGTATGACATACTCAGCTCACTTCAGACTCACAAGTTTCACTTGAGTGAAAATGGAAAGCAAACTATTTACTATTATTTAAGGAAGAAGAAGAGCTTTGCTTGTGTGTGCTATCAGTTGCGCCAGGCAGCCGACAGATGACGCTACCGTCGAGTACTACAGGCGGGTTGAAAATCGCATCACCACTGGTACAAGGTGTGAGAAAAGTAAACTTCAATCCATATTCTGACAATGGAGGGTAAGTGGAAATAACCTATACATTTACTAGTTTTAAATGACACTACACAATTGTAAGCGTATACATTTCTACAGTTAATATGTATTCTTTGTTTTTATTTTATAATACCTTGTTACAGTTCTATGGTTTTTATATATTTATATGGAGTATTTTATATCTACATAATTATATGAAAACACTGTTTCATCCTTAGGAGTGTTGTGGCTCTTGCTGGGGATGATTTCTGCGTCATAGCCGCAGACACGCGTCTCAGCACTGGATTTACGATTCATACTCGAAATCAGGATAAATTATTTCCGTTGTCAGACACGACTATCTTAGGATGCTCTGGTTGTTGGTGCGATACCACAACTCTAACTCGTCTCCTATCCGCTCGCATGCAGGTATTAAACCTTACACTTGAATTCAATTAGAATTAGAATATAGTAAAATAATTATATGATAACATTTGATACATATTAATACCTAAATTTTAAGCAGAATTATAAGACTCATAACATATTCTTGTAAGACTTATAAAAACTTTTAAGTGCTTATACCTTTACATAGAGAACTTTTTACTACACTCCGTTCAACGAGAGAATGACCTCGGATCGGCTGAAAATTTGTTTGTTTCGTGCAGTCTGCCTGTTTTTTACAGCGCTGTATTGCAACTTGCTACCAGGAGATATTATCACAGAATTAAATTACTCTTTATTTATTTATTCGTATTTTGTTATAGTTATTTCGAAAATAATATTAAACAGTTAATTATCCTGTCAATTCACAAATTCTATACAATAAAATAAAAGAAGAATTTGATATCAAAATGTCATCGTTATATGTACAGTAATAGACATAACCCTACTTCACTTGTTATATTATCTTCCAAGCGCAAAACAAGGTCATTCTCTCATTGGACGGAGTATAGCTATAAGATTTTTAAGAAATCGCAGATATTTTCTAACGATCGTATGTCTTACAATACATACGGATAAAATTAAAACAATAGTCATAAGTTCTCATAAGTTTTCGAGAACAAGTTACAAATCTTATGATTCTACTTAGAATTGATCCGTAAATTGTTAAATACAGATAAAATAAACAAGAAAGAAGTACAGCCTATAATAGTCAAAGCTGGATCAAAGTGCTTATTATAATTATGCGTGATTTTTATATACTACATATGTAGTCCCCCAGATAAAATAGTTATTATTTTATTTCAGATGTATAAACATGAACATCAAAAGGAAATGTTAACTCCAGCAGTAGCACAAATGCTGTCGATAATGCTGTATCACAAAAGATTCTTTCCTTATTATGTTAGCAATATACTTGCTGGATTAGATGAGAATGGGAAAGGTTGTTTATATAGTTATGATCCAATTGGACATTGCGAGAAAACTACATATAGAGCTGGTGGTTCAGCCGGTGCACTTTTGCAACCACTTCTTGATAATCAGGTATATATTTTAATCTCTTATATTTATATATACATACATATATACACACATATATGTAAATTATTTTTATATATCTATATAAGAAACATTTAAGAAAAAGAAACTGTATAATTTAATATTATATCTTGTAATTTTTCTACCTTTTAGATTGGTTACAAAAATCAAGAAGGTGTCACTCCTGTACCTTTAACTCAAGAAAAGGCTGTAGCAATCTTGAAAGACATTTTTACTTCTGCTGCCGAAAGAGATATATATACAGGTGATGGAATAACTATCAAAATTATTACCAAGGATGGAATAGAAGTCTCAAGTTTTGCTCTGAGAAAGGATTAATGGGGGAGAAAAGTATTTATATTATATGCGCAAATAAAGTTATTTGAGTATACCAACACTGTTATCAGATTCTTTCTCTTTCAAACACTTTTTAAAAGTGATAATACATTATAGAATAATCATTTTATAATAGATTTTAAATGCACAAATTGAAATTGCACGGATTGAATAATGTACAAGAGACACACACGAAAGAGAGTTGGAAATATACAAATACACGTAAGCAGTATTTAAAGAGGCCTTTTATAATACTATATTTGCTACCTAATGTATGTGTAAACATTTTATCCACAATACATATCTTATAAATTCTTAATAAATCTTTGTGATAATCAATAAGAATGTGATATGTTATCATAAATTAAAAATTTTATTTTATCACTCAAACACATGATTCATTTTTATTTCATGATTAGCAGTAGTAATATACACTTAAAAATCTATAATAAACGATTACGCGCAAAGGTAACTCAATAAGCCTTGTTTAACGTTACGCTATGTTACTGTATGCACCGTGTGTAACCGTATGTCACTCGTACGTATTCGTGATATCTTAAAATATCTTTCTTTTATTTCGTACATAAAGAGAAGTTAATTGTAATCCATGTTTTTTTATCGTTCACAATATCTGTATAACCAAAAGAAAGGAGGATAAAGGTTTATTTTTCTTTTTTTTGTTGCATTTCATTCTACCGTCTTTCTCATAGTTCTTCCTTGGGAACAGTATATAAGGATCGAAAGATAGATGTTGCTTCCCCCCGAGATTCACTTCTTCGTCCCGGGGGCCGCTAACGGTTTGCCACGATCTTTACCACGCAATTTAATTCCAAGTACTCGCTCGATCTTGCCGATTACCATCTGATTCGGTATTCCACGTCCGGCTTCGTAGTCATTGATGACTTGCGCCTTTTCGTTTACTTTCTATAAAAAACATTAAAAATTATTAATAAAAATGTGTGTTGTGTTTTCATATGTACGGTCCTATGAGATTTAGGGCCGATTGTTCCATCTTTTAATAAAGTTACCCGTTAGATAAATCTGGCAATCCGCGTATTGGGTAATTTTGCTACTTACCTAACAGATAAACTTTACCAAAAGATGGAACAATCAGCCCTTTGATATTGATTAATAAAAATATTCATAGCATGATTAAAAACACACGAGAATCTGTAAAAAATAAATAAAATACAATTTGACTTTTATTATAGTAAGAACTTACTATATATATAAAGTAGTATGTGAATTTTTTTTAATTTTTATGTAGTCCGGAACAATAAATTTAATGCGTCAATCTCAACAATCCATTCTCAGAATCAAGATTGAAAATTTTACAGGGGAGAGGATTAAAGAATTTTATAACTATGACATAATAGTTAGAAAGCTGTTTTAAATAATTCAATGTAAAACAAGATAAAAATTTTACCGTAGCCAAATCTTTTTGTGATAATCCTTTGTTCTGTCGTCCTTGCTGGATAAGTTTGCCAAGCTCAAGTGGAATTTGGTCGTGTTTTAATTCTTCTGTTTCACGATCTAATTTGGCTGTGTTCTTTGTAGTTACATGCTGTCTGTTTGCACCACCACCCCCTAATCAGAAATATTTTTCTATTTCAATATTATACCTAATAAAATGTTATTTAAAAAAAAAAGACTATAGAATAGTGTACACATTTGTGATAAAACACAATAAAACATTTTTAGGATATTGTTATTTTATCTGTAGAAACCAAGAAAGCTATTTAAAATCCTATTTAATAAAAAATGTATATTGTCTGTATTATTTATGTAGTTATTTATTGATAGAATACTATATTATGTTTCTTGAAATAGATAACCTCAGAATACTATGTTATATTATTTTAAATAGATACATATGTGTTTATTCTACACTGACACAACAAACTTGTTTTTGAACTACCTTGAGCTTTTTATCTATATATGACACAATATGATACAACAATAATATAGATTACATGTACTTTTTGTACTGCAACTATATTGGTGATTGCATATAGATGTCATTCTCAAGAAAACATGATAATTATTTGTAGTTCAATTTTATGAATATACTTATGTGTTTATTCTCTACATTAACACGACTAACTACTGTTTTCAAACTTTGAACTTTTCAACTAACACAATATGATATAACAATAACACAGATTACATGTACTTTTTTGCTATACTGTGCAAATAATTGCATATAGATTTGTCATCACTCGTGAGAAAATACGATAATTATCATTTTCATAATTTGCAGTTCAGTTTTACATGACAATATATTTATACATGTGTTTATTCTATATATATATTAACACAACAAACTACTTTGTTTTCAAATTACCTTGAACTTCTCATCTATGACACAATATGATACAATAATAATGCAGATGACGTTCCTTTTTTTACTGCAACTGTATTTTGGGCTTTCTATAATAAGCCATTAAAAGCTGTAAGAAATTGACCATTTATAGTCAATATTATTCTTCTTACTTTTCAACTGTGATTGGTCAATTTCTCATGATTTAAGACTTAAAATTTAGGTAATGGCTTATTGTAGAAATCCTTCGTTGATAATTGCATATAGATTAATTCTCGAAAGAAAATATGATAATTATCATTTTTACAATTTGCAGTTTGGTTTTACGGGTCCATGATGTAACTCGGTTATTGTAATCGTAGATAAGAGAGAGTACACAGAATTGTCCGCTTGAAACGGCAAGCACGTTGTCTATGACGAAACAGTCAGACAGATCCCAAGGAAAAGTATCGCAGGAAGGTAGACTCGTGCTACTCACATTTCGCCTGTGTCTCCACGGTGAAACCCTGTCGCCGTGCGTCGTTCACCGCCTGTAAACAAACACAATTTTGGTTATACAATTGTGTGGAGCAGATCGGTATCCACGTATGTAGACGAGATGGGTTACCTACCTTCTCGGTCTTCAACGTAGACGATTTTGGAGCACGTTTGCGTAGAGTAATAGGCGCGGTGTCCCAATCTGACATATTGTTAAAAAATCTCACAATGGGGAGCCCGAGGGGTTATTGCGGTATATCGGGGAAGGAAATTTCCTTGGACGTGTATAGACGTATGGCCACGACGACGATAGCGATATACTCCACACTGCTTGCTCTACGCTCTACTCCCGCCACTGTTTGCGTTTCCAGTCGAGCAAGGTCTTCTCTCCGCCTCGCGGACGTTCCGAAAATCATGCGGCGCGGCCGCTCGATCGACCGGCGCGAAGCCACGATTCCGCGAACATCAGAAGTCGGCACCTACGGGATATCGAGAACTTGGAGAACCACCACGACGGCAACGTGTCCTCTCGCTGAATCCAGCTGAATCCTACTGAATCCTCGCGCTCGCTGTTTCTTCCGACACGATGCCGGCCGGAGGAATTGCGACACGTTTGTGGTGTCTCGAACGGCTCGAAAGTCGAATGTCGTTCCGCGACCGCGAATTTCGAGAACCGATAAACGATCGAGATTCGTCTCCAGCAGTCACACGGAACATCGAACTTTCGGTCGTCCAATTTTCAATGTCACACGTGCACGGACAATTTTTCCCAATCTGTGCCAATTATTACAATAGAATGTGCCGCTTTTTCTTGAAGTATACTGCAAAATTAGTACACATTAAAGTCTGCTTTATATAAATTATCTAATGCGGTGACGTAATATTTAATCAACTTTGACAATAAAATAATATGTACATTCTTTTAAATAACGTAACAATATTATTAGGTATTTAATTAAAATATTTATTTGCTTTTTTTATATTTACCTTTGTTAATTTCATGTATAGCAGTTCTTTCTTATATAATAATTATTTTTAGTACTCGTAATAATCATACAATATAAGAAATGATTTAATGAAAATCAGTAGAAGACCCAAAAATAACTTTATTGACCTTCTTTATGCGTATTGTATATTGATACAGTGTAAATGTGTCAATATTTTACAATCGTATGACACGTACATGTATAAATTTACCTTTGAAAATATAATAGTGTGATATAATATAACATTTTATAGATTTTTACCATGCGTTTCAGTCATGACTAATGAAAATATACTATATGTGATAGTCATGAAACAATTAACATTATATTTCGCGCGAAGAATTTTATGTAATAATTAATCTCTCATTCACTAATAAAATATACAATAATTTCATTAATTTGCAAATTAATGAAATTTATTGTATATTTTTTTATCATTTTATTAGTGAATGAGAGATTAATTTTATTACATAAAATTCTTCGCGCGAAATATAATGTTGTTTCATGACTATCACATATATAGTATATTTTCAGGATAAAAGAAAATTCTTTCCGTGTAAAATAGTCTTCTTCCACCATGTGTATTTACGTGTCATAATTTGTAAATGTTATGTGTGCAAGTTGATTAAGTCGAGTCCAATCGGTAAAACAGATGAATTCCGTGGAATTCATCAGGCCAACATCCCCTTAAAAAGGGGTTAGTCTTTCTTCTTTTCAATTGGCATCTTGTCGAAAAAAAAAGGAGAAATGTACATGTTTGCGTTTCGCGAAAATTCATAAATTGGTTCATACAGCAATTTTGCTTTTCTATTTCTCTTCGTTACTTCCCTCTCTTTTTCTCTTGCTCCTACTTGCCGATCTATTGCGCGCGTTCGATCAGCGAGTCCCAGCGAGTTCAGTTTCACCTGTTCCCTTCCCCCCCCTTTTGTTATTAGTTCAGCCGCCACTTCACTTCAAGGCATTACTGCCGAGAAGTCCAAGTGAGTCCGAGAATCTTCTCCATCCGCATCGTGACGTCCGCACTGTTCGCGGTAGTATATTTATATACGGTTGTGTCCAGCTGACTGCACGAAGACGAGATGTCGTTAATCAGGACGCTGTGGAGGTGCACGTTTAGTCCGCGGCTTTTCAAGATTTACGAGGTAACGTGGATCGGTCTGATTGACGTAAGTACGACATACTTATTCAGCGTTTTCTGCAGAAATTTGCATAAAATTGAGGTTACAATACGTGTGCGTGTATGCATTACAGAAACCGTACGAGGCGAAGAACCTGGAACGATGGGGAGATAACATCGTGATCTCTGTAAGTATTCAGCACGACAGAACGGAGACATTTCTAAACATTCGTTGTAGTCTTATCACTTTGCTCTGTATAAATAAAGATCTTCCGAATACCAGAAAACATGATATTCTGTTTACATCGTACTAATTTGATCACGTCTTCTGTATTATTGCAACTACAAGGATGTAGAAATTCACAAATTTTTTATCTGTGCTGTTGCAGTTTGCAGCGATATGGTCTATAAGTCTCTACGCTGTACCAGTCATGTTTGCTATGTATCAGCGTGGCTATTCCTTGATAGATAATATCTCCTGTTTAAGTAAATTGGCTGCTGGCGCCAGTGCTTTTCTTATTGCCTCGTTGGCTGCACGTGGTTACTCCAGAGTCAACAATCCAGTGTATGTGAAATTCATAGAGACCTTGAATGAAGCACATTTGCATTACAATGCAAGCACAAAGCAGGAACTCCAGAAATATGATTTCGAATTTTGGGCATGGCCTGTGGATTTTGATATATCGGAATTACAAAGGTTAGACTTATCTCTGTCAACAATCAATATACATGTTTAAGAATCTTTAACTTTTATTGTAGTGACACATATTCTTTAATTTTGGAAATCTTATTACTCGTTTATAACAAAAATTTTGTGAGTTGTAACTTTTTACAACTCTGTAATAGCTGACAATCAAATATATTTTAATCATATTTTGATTTGACAACATGGAAAATCGATTTATATGTATTCAACATTTCGTTTAATTCTATATAAAAGATTCTATCTTTAGAAAACAGGACTTCATATATTTCAATTAAAGAAATAATTTTTTTTAAGTCAGAAATTAAAATTAGAAATTTTAAAATATATGTAACACAATTAATATTACAATTTACTCTAATTTTATATTTCTTGTAGTGGTGCAGATAAATTGACACTAGAAAAAATTGCAAAGGCTAGTGGACGTCTGAGGCGACAAAGCGGCAAAGAATTTTTATTTGCTATACCATGTAAATTACTTTCTTATGTGGTAGCACACACCTTTGCGGGTAAATTGATGTATCCTGGCAGTATATCTCTCATCGGCTGGGCACTCGGTAACACATTACTACAACTATATACATAATTATAATTTATTATATATAATAAATTCAATATATAAGTAAATTATTAAGCTCTAAACACAATGCGAGGGAATAGTGATAGCGATAAGTTTCAACCTATCAAAAATGCGTATTCCGGTGTATTCGATTTCTGATAAGTTGAAACTTATCGCTATCGCTATTCCCTCGCATTGTGTTTAGGGCTTTACTCGTGTTTTCATGCTATTATTTTATATTACAATGTCACAGGTTCTACATTGATAAAGGGAAGGATAGATTTAATGAAACAAGGAGGAGAAAGATTTAAATTAATGACCGTTGATAAAAATCAAATTGACACATTATTCGTTGATCGGCGCAACAAGTAATGTAAATGATAACTTTCTCGATATTTTCTGTTACGTTATAAACTGTTTACACCATATTGCAGAAGCACTAATGGCAATATATTGGTCGTAACTTGCGAAGGAAACTGTGGTTTTTATGAAACAGGCATCATATCCACTCCTCTGACCAAGGGCTATTCCGTGCTAGGTTGGAATCATCCGGGTTTCGGCAGCAGTACTGTAAGTATTACGTTTGCAAAGAAATAAGCTTTATGTATATTTCACAATTTGATAGGAAGAATTGCTGTTACTCTGTTATAAAACTTGATTGCAACAATAAAATTTTGCCAATGTTGTAGTTATTGTCATTCAGACAGTAAATGCAAAGTTGGAGTAATGGCAAGTCTTCTTTGAGAGCCGACTTGTATCTTGTATAACAGTAAGTCATGACCACAAAGGGTGCGCCGTATCCAGACCAAGAAGAAAATGCCATCGATTGTATAATGCGTTTTGCGATCGAACGTCTAAATTTTCCTGAGGAACGGATTATTCTGTATGGTTGGAGCATCGGAGGCTATACTGCTACTTGGGCCGCTATGAATTATCCTTCTATTAATAGTTTGGTAATATTTGATTTAACTAATTACATCTGATACATATACCAAATCGATTCTGCATATTGCTAAAATTAAATTATCATTGCAGATTTTAGATGCTACATTCGATGATGTACTTCCATTAGCTATTAAAACAATGTCACCGTCCCTAGAAGGATTAGTTCGTAACATAATCAGAGATTACTTCAATCTAAACATAGCAGAGCAATTGAATAGGTATAATATCCTATAACACATTATTACAATATCATTACTGAGAAAATACACATAAGTAGATACTTCTATACATAATCATCTTTTAATTTAATAGATATAACGGGACTGTATTGTTAGTGAGGAGAACAGACGATGAGATTCTCTGTATACCTAATAATAGTTTAGCTGGAAATCGCGGTAATATGTTATTGATGAAACTATTTCTTAGACGTTATCCGCACTTATTTTCTGAAACTTCTGAGTCTGGGACAATTCTATCGAGGTTTTTATCTGCTGAAGCAGCCGATAGAAGTAAGGAATTTTAATATTAATAGCATCACTTACAATTGGAAGAATTTTATTTTAAAAAAATTTACTAAATTGATATCTATGATAGCGTCGATATTGGAATCGTTCCAAGTGGAGGAAAATCATTGCCTAGAATTGATAGTGGCTAATATACGAAGTAATGATGGAGCGATAAATTATCCCTCTACTCTGGGACAGGATTGTGATACTAGGACAAAATTACAACTGGTTCTCTTCCTTGTATGTATTATATACTGATTTGTAGATTTAAAGTAAAAAAAAACAAAAAAATTAATCTATTCCTCTGTTTTATAGACAACGATGTATATGAAAGATCAATCGTCGTCGCACTGTATTCCACTGTCTGTTGATCTCTTTCATCCGGGTTGGAATCCAGCTTCCGCTGTTATTGCAAAGTAGGGTTTATAGTACTCTATTTTGAACATGGGAATACAAACTTCCCAAAAGATTTTTATTTATACAGTGCATTATGAAAAAGTGAAAGCGGTAATAACAGTGCAATTTCGTGTTAAGTTTAATTAGCACACACATATACGCAAACATTATTTATTCCATATTAATCTATAATCAATCTTACAAATTTTTGTCAAAAATGTCACACATTAGATATCATTCTATAAATTCATAATAAACATTTTTTTAGTTGAATTGCAATGGTTATTAATGTTTTTTAAATTGATTATTCGTGTTACGTATCGTCAGTACTGCTTTGTATAAAATTTATTTGTATATTACAATATATATATCTATATATATATTAAAATTTAAAAATCGATTCTCAATATATTGACATTATTTTAGGAAATAGCTTTTATAATAGCAAGTAATCTATTTTACTAGTAGATAATTTAAAAAAGATAAAAGCATCTTATGTTAAAACTTTGAAGTGAGAATATATATTTATACATATATGTATGTATACACATACATATACATTGTAAGATAATAAATATATTTTTCATTTCAATATTATTTAATTATTACATAATTATTTATTTTTAATAAAAAAGAATTTTTTATCATGAAGCAAAGATAACATTGCAAAAGAAGTTTGTATTAAAAGTTTTATAAAAGTACAAAATTTTGATATAAAAAATTATCAAAATTATCTTACAGATTATTTATATGTAGATCTTGCAAAATTTATATATAATTTAATTTTAATTTATATTTGAAATTTTTATTTTCCACATAATATATAAAAATAAATAACTATATCATACCATAATTTTCAGAAATCTTATGTAACTTGAATACTATCTAAAACAGCTTTAAGAGCAGTTTTAGAATCTTGAAATGGATCAACTACATTTGCGCGACTAGTCTTCATTGGTTTTTCTAGAAATACCTTCAACATACTCCTTGTTTGCGCTAAAAAATAATCTCTCTGAGTAATTTTTTCCAAAGCCTTAAAACATCCTTCCAAATTCCAATCAATTGTCCCATTATTTTTATCCTCACTCTAAAAAACAAACAATTGTCAATTCATTTTTTCGCTTCCATGTATTTTCTATGCTTAATTCTTAATGTTTCTTACTTTTATTAAACCAAGATTAACTAGTAATGCATTATTGAAATCTGAGATTTGATTAGTCTCTACAGCATAAGAAAATAGTTTTGCATATAAAGCATCTGATAAGAATTCTGCTTTTATTCTCACATTCATGTAGCCACTACCACATAATGCCGATACTTTCATAGTTATCCGTAAAAGTTCCTCTACATATTTTTGTTCTACTATATTGCTTTGATTTGCCAAATTCTGAAAAAAGAAGTATATCTCATTAAAAAGAAAATAAATGCTTGTACACATGAATACACACCATTGCATAATCGATAAAAGCTTGCACATTATCGCCTTGCAGTAACAGTAATTTTTCACCTATTGGTGATTTCACGAATTCTGCTACTGTCACCACTGTACTTTGTGCAATATCTTGTTCCTTATTATCTTTGTCACTTGCTTCATCCTCATTATTATCATTTTCGTCTTCTTCGCTCTGTTCCTCATTATCGTCTTCCTCTTCCTCATCCTCAGTATAATCTTCATCCAAAGAATTCAATGCATCAATTTTTCCCAATTTTGTAAGAATTTGTCGAAGATTTTCGCGTCCTTCCGTTCCAAAGCAATTACCATCCAGCTGTAGATTTGTCAGAAGAGTTTTATCGTGCATGGTTTTAGCAATAGCATTTCCAGCATCTGCGCGTAATTCATTATTACTCAAATCTAGATATCTAAGGGATGTATGATTGCCGTGGATCTGTAACGCTTCTGCTAAAGCTAAAGCCCCTTTAGTCTTTAGTAAACAATCTCCGAGGTTTAATTCCTCTAGACCCCGGAAAATCGGTAAGGCTTTAGTGAGTGCTTTGGCTCCTTTCAATCCGATTGTATTATCGTTCAAATTTAACACTCGCAAATTAGGATTGGCAGATAAACCTTGTGCAATCGCTGCAATGCCGACGTGGTATATGCCATTCTGTTGCATTACAACTTCCTCCAATGTTTTCAGTCTTTCAAATACAGATGCTAACGCTTGCGCACCCTCATTCTCTAACCGATTTCTACCAACAATGAAAACTTTCAGTGCAAGTGGCGTACCTATAGTAGAATTTTATTCCATTAAGCATTGAATTAGAATATATTAAAATATATGTAACATACATGATATCTTACCTTCCTTAGAACTATTTTCATGACATTTCTCCAATGCTTTAGCTAACATCTTTCCACCTGATATACCAAGACCATTGTTATTTAATTTCAACTGCTGAAGAGTATAGCATGGACTTGATGCTAACAAATTTGCTAACCCTTGAATACCAATTGGACCAAAAGCATTGTCGCTCAAGTCAAGTTCAGTAAGTTGACTACCAGCAGTGCACAAGGCTGTTCCTAGATATTCCAACGCTTTTGGGATTTCTGTTTTCAAACGACCAGTGAACATATCCTTCCACAAAGCTCTCTTCAATAGAGTTCCTTTTTCCTTTAATGCTTCTGCTATAACTTCTGCAGCTGGTGTACCTAATGTGTTTCCTTCCAAATCCAAGTATTCCAAGCACGGACATGCTTTAATCGCTTCCACCACTTGAAGAGCTGTACAATAATGTCTATTCTTTTTAGCTGAACTTCTTGTACAGTTCAGTTTTTATCGTTTTCCTTTCACAAAAGAGAGGCGAAAAGATAAACTGTGTAAGAAATTTAACTAAAAAGAATAGACCTTGTAACAAGCATAAATAAATTTATTGATAAATAAATTCTCTGGCAGTAATTAGAAAATATGAAAATAATGCCTACAAACAAGTTAATTTATGCAGTAAATAAGATTTCATAAAACGATAAACTGTATTTCAAAATCAAGAATTGCTTGCATAATTATTTATAGCTTTGTATGTTTTATGCACAAAATATGAGAAGATACATTGTAAGATACAGTAAAAAGATTCTAATTACCATCATTCGCGGTGTCCAACACGAGCGACTGACCGGCAAATGAGACTCCCACCGACTGTCGACTCACATCCTTTAACTGCTCGCTAATCTCGCCTAAACTAAACATGTTGCGCGTTTGCAAGTGTCACAAAAATTTTGTAAAATGATCTTGATTCGCGATCCTTCAATATAAACTGTGATAACACCGACCGTCCCTTTGTTGATATAGTTTATCGTTTCTCCTAGTGCGATGTTTTGCCAGGTGGTAAAAATGTGACGAAACTGCATGCGCGGGAAACCTTTGCCAACCTTTAGTCGAGCATTTTTAAGTCGGAAAGAAAATCTCTATAAATACAAACGTAAGGTCTGTTCGTTTGTTTCAGGGTATCAACAGTAAAGACCTATAATGAAAGATGCGCCAACCGCGAACGGCCCGTGATTGGTCCGCCATTGCGTACCCGTGCCAACCTTACCTGCCTGACGCTGCCAAGCTAGATGAGAAGATAAGAGCCTGTTACGTATATGGTTATAAAAATATGTAGGTAAAAATTGCGAAGTATGGTCTTGTTTTATGAAATATGTAATATTATGATAATGATATAATATTATGATATTATGATATTATTTATTCTAAATATTTTAACATTCAATGTTTAGATTCAAATAAAATTTAAAGCTAAAAATGACACTAATTGCTCAAATATATGAAAATTTTTTTGTGTATAACTTTTTTTTGGAGGGTGGACAAATGAAAATAATGGGTGGACATACGTGGACAAACGGTGGACAAACGAATGCAGTCATGATTTTATCAAAATTCGCATTTAGGGGTGCCGACATCTCAGAGCTGCTCTGTGAAGTCGATATCCAATAATGCAAATTTTGATAAAATCATTATTGCATTCGTTTGTCCACCGTTTGTCCACGTATGTCCAACCATTATTTTCGTTTGTACCCTCTATTTTTGTTATATTTTTCATAATAATGAAAAATAATCTTTTGGGGGTGTTACAATTTTTTTCTGTATAACTTTTTTTGGAGGGTGGACAAATGAAAATAATGGGTGGACAAACGTGGCCAAACAGTGGACAAACGAGTGCAACAATGATTTTATCAAAATTCGCATTTAGGGGTGCCGACATCTCAGAGCTGCTCTGTGTAGAGTACCGCATCGAAGGGTCCAGAAATGACAGCGACCAATCACGAGGCCGTTACCCCTCATGACGGTACTCTATTAAGCCGGTTCTACATTAGTTACAAGCCAATCGCAAGTTTGTTGCGATAGCCAATCTGAAGTATTGATTTCAAAATGCAAGCTTGAGATTGGCTATCGCAACAAACTTGCGATCGGCTTGCAACTAATGTAGAACCAGCTTTATAGGTACTCTACGAAAACCCAAGCCTAGAGGCCTAGAAAACAAGAGATGCGACATTGCGTCGGTTGGGTTAGGTAACCACCGCCATTTTAATTCAATATAAGTGCTCTTGACCAATAAGCTGATGACAGTTGATGCAAAAGTTAGAAAGATTAGATTAGGTTAGGTTAAGTCCGATATTAAATATTCACAAGAATACTTACACCTTAATAATAGTTTTTTATTGCACTTCGACACTGTATTGTCTAAATTTTTCTCTCTCTATATATATATATATATAATGTACATACGTTATAAAACTATATCTATTAGGTGTACGTTCCACTTAATGTTCGCAACGCTCGCGAGAATCATTTTGTCCTTCTTGTAATCGAATATTAAGTAAGGATGAGATGATACACGCGATCGTTGCGAACGTTAAGTGGAATGAACCCTAGATGCAATGGCGAATTAAAATGGCTCTCTGATCACGTGATTTAGACAGCCAATCAAGTCATACCCTTCAATGACGCATCTCTGTTTTCTAGTCTCTACCCAAGCCGAGAAACTGTAGTGTCATACTGTCACATACTGTCATTCAGTAGTGTCATACTGTATTTAGTTTTGAATAATCGCGTTTAAGATATTTTAGCGAATTAAGTGCAATGATGAATCAATTGATAGAAAATGGGAAAGGAAATTTACCCGATTATGAGGTACAAGGTGTGAGAAAAGTAAACTTCAATCCATATTCCGACAATGGAGGGTAAGTAGAAATAACCTATACCTTTACTAGTTTTAAATAACACTACACAATCATAAGCGTATACATTTCTACAGTTAATCTGTATATATTCTTGGTTTTTATTTTATAATACCTCGTTATAGTTCTATGTTTTTTATATATTTATATGGAGTATTTTACATCTACATAATTATATGAAAACACTGTTTCATCCTTAGGAGTGTTGTGGCTCTTGCTGGGGATGATTTCTGCGTCATAGCCGCAGACACGCGTCTCAGCACTGGATTTACGATTCACACTCGAAATCAGGATAAATTATTTCCGTTGTCAGACACGACTATCTTAGGGTGCTCTGGTTGTTGGTGCGATACCACAACTCTAACTCGTCTCCTATCCGCTCGCATGCAGGTATTAAACCTTACCACTTGAATTAATTAGAATTAGAATATAATAAAATAATTATATGATAACATTTGATACATACTAATATCTAAATTTTAAGCAGAATTATAAGACCCATAACATATTCTTGTAAGACTTATAAAAACTTTTAAGTGCTTATACCTTTACATAGAGAACTTCTTACTACATTCCGTTCAACGAGAGAATGACCTTGGATCGGCTGAAAACTTGTTTGTTTCGTGCAGGTCTGCCTGTTTTTCACAGCGTTGTATTGCAACTTGCTACCAGGAGATATTATCACAGAATTAAATTACTCTTTATTTATTTATTTATATTTTGTTATAGTTATTTCGAAAATAATATTAAACAGTTAATTATCCTGTCAATTCACAAATTCTATACAATAAAATAAAAGAATTTGATATCAAAATGTCATTGTTACATGTACAGTAATGGATATAGCCCCATTTCACTTGTTTTATTATATCCCATGCACAAAACAAGGTCATTCTCTCGTTGAACAGAGTATAGCTATAAGATTTATAAGAAATCACAGATATTTTCTAACAATCGTATTTCTTACAATACATACGCATAAAATTAAAACAATAGTCATAAGTTTTCATAAGTTTTCGAGAACAAGTTACAAATCTTATGATTCTACTTAGAATTGATCCGTAAATTGTTAAATACAGATAAAATAAATAAGAAAGAAGTACAGCCTATAATGGTCAAAGCTGGATCAAAGTGCTTATTATAATTATGCGTGATTTTTATATACTACATATGTAGTCCCCCAGATAAAATAGTTATTATTTTATTTCAGATGTATAAACATGAACATCAAAAGGAAATGTTAACTCCAGCAGTAGCACAAATGCTGTCGATAATGCTGTATCACAAAAGATTCTTTCCTTATTATGTTAGCAATATACTTGCTGGATTAGATGAGAATGGGAAAGGTTGTTTATATAGTTATGATCCAATTGGACATTGCGAGAAAACTACATATAGAGCTGGTGGTTCAGCCGGTGCACTTTTGCAACCACTTCTTGATAATCAGGTATATATTTTAATCTCTTATATTTATATATACATACATATATACATACATATATGTAAATTATTTTTATATATCTAAGAAACATTTAAAAAAAAGAAAACGTATAATTAATATTACATCTTGTAATTTTTCTACCTTTTAGATTGGTTACAAAAATCAAGAAGGTGTCACTCCTGTACCTTTAACTCAAGAAAAGGCTATAGCAATCTTGAAAGACGTTTTCACTTCTGCTGCCGAAAGAGATATATACACAGGTGATGGAATAACTATCAAAATTATTACCAAGGATGGAATAGAAGTCTCAAGTTTTGCTCTGAGAAAGGATTAATGGAGGGAAAAAAGCATTTATATTATATGCGCAAATAAAGTTATTTGAGTATACCAACACTGTTATCAGATTCTTTCTCTTTCAAACACTTTTTAAAAGAGATAATACATTATGGAATAATCATTACTTAGTTAAAAGACTCGTTTCTCTTAATTGCATTTACGGATGGAAAAATCCTTCTGCTTAATTAAAGTATCGATAACAATGAATTGCGCTAGCTACATTTCAATACGAAAAACGGAAAAAAAATTTACAGTTTCGTTATCGGCTTCTCACATAATATATGTGTCAAGTCAACTGCAGAAGCCGATAACGAAACTGTAAGTTTTTAATTTTCTTCCGTTTTTCGTATTGAAATGTAGCTAGCGCAATTCATTGTTGTCGATACTTTAATTATACAGAAGGATTTTTCCATCCGTAAATGCAATTAAGAGAAACGAGTGACTAAGTAATGATAAAACAGGACCTCCAGCATCACCTTAAGTTAATTAAAATTTGGTTAAAACCGCTCACGATTTTAATTTTATAAATTCCTTCCATGTAGCAGATTAAAAATTATGAAATACATGGGAAATGTATAGAAAAATTAAATGTTGCGAAAAAATTGTAAACTCACGGATAGTAAACAGGAAAATTTTTTTCGGCGAGTTTCGGGATGCAATATTATAAAAAGCGAGTTCATTATTCATTTGTGCAGGTCTGTAGATGACAATTTGCAACATCAGTGCGTACCGAAATAAAAAATGTTAGACCCGTGATTATATGTATAAATAATAAAATAACGTTAACTATATACATACATATAAAGTTAATTAAATTTTTTCTCTGTACAAAGAGAGAATTATTAAAATCAGATTATAAAATAATACATATTACAGATAGTAAAATAATACATATTAATCTTTGACTAGATATAAGATACATAAAAATAAGTATTAGTATTAGGATAAAAGCTTCAAGTTTATTGGAATGAAACATATAACGCAATAAAATATTATTTGTTATAACTAATTTCACATTTTCAAATAAAGATCTTTTTTTTCTCGCAAATTTATTTACAAAATGGAAAAAAAATATCTTATTATATTCAAGTTATAACAAAAAAAAAGAAACAGTTGCTTGACTGTAACACAATTGCGAAATAATTCATTGAACATTCGAGACAGAATCATTTGATGTTTTCTTTCCTTTAAAAAATCCATATATTTATTGTTAATATGTGTAGAATATCAATGTTAAACAATAAACATAGGATACGCAAATTCAGTTTTTTTTCAGGTGCTAATAAAGATGCTTTATTACACTGAATGTAGCTTTTCCATAAACTGGCCACTGTGTCTGTGTATATGTATGTGTATATCGTGTGTGTTGTGTGTGCTTACGACTTTTATTATATTAATATATCATAAATATTTTTTTCTTCATTAATTTGATTCTTTCAGACATAGGGGACATATCTAGAAATATTTTTTTTAATTTTTTCTATTTCTTTAATAAAAAGTTTATATCTGTAGCATTCTTGCTATTTATATTTAAAAATGACACACTGCAACATATTCTAAATTTGTGAAAAAGCATAGAATACGATGCATAGAACACGAAAAAAATCATAGCAAGAAGGGCGACAAGCTACTATTAATAGAAGAAATGTTTTCTTTTAATTATCTTTAGGCAAGTACGAAACGATTATGTTTTTTTTCTATATATAGGGTGGTCCTTAAGTATTCTAAAAGATTTAATATGATTTCTCATATTAATTCAAGACGAAAACTTCAAAACATCTAAGTCTGGGTCCACAACCTCACTTTAAGAGGCCCTAAACCGTAAAGCCGTAAGAAATTGACCAATCACAGTCGATTATTTTTCTCGCATTCAACTATGGTTGGTCAATTTCTTACGGCTTTATGGCTTAGGGCCTCTTAAAACGAGGTTGTGGACCCAGCCTAAAACGGCTAGTTTCAAAGATACATGCTTATCTTTGGGTTCGTCTCTGATTGAAAAACTAATGTATAGTCCTAAAGACAAACAGAATTTTATCAAAATAACTTGAATAGTTTTAGAAAAAGTTTAGTTTTTTTTTCAACTTTGACGTTCTCTACTTTTGACCTTACATTCAAGGCTCCCATAATTTATCTTCAGATGCTCTATGAATTATTTCATTGGTTATTGAGTATCTAAAGATAAATTTAAGGAAGTCTTAATGTCTATATCGTTACAGTGTCGTTGCGCAGATATTTTATATGATAAAAAAAACTGCGCAACGACACATAATGATATCTCGACATTATCGTTAAGAGTTACAGAAAAAAGCCATTGATTATGAATACGCGGATATAAGCTATTTCGGACATAAGAACTGTATTCCATTTAACACTCACAATATAAAGTCTAAAATTGTGATATAAGAGATCTTTAAATCGTCTTTTAGACGCAGAAAGCGTCTTATATTCGATTTGAGATATTTTTGTTTTTTAGAAACGTTCGTGGAATCATTTCATCCTTGATGTTTATCAAATGTTAAACAAGAGCAAATGACGCTCATTAGTACTGTGAGCACTAATTACAATGCAGCCATGATCACATAAAGTTTTTCGTCTTGAATTAATATAAAATAAAGGAGAATTACTTACTCCTTAATAGAGAATTTTTGCAATACCGTTTATCCCAGATACAGTGAATGCTAAAATCACGTTATCTTTTTCTTCACACCTAATTAAGAAAAAGATAACGTGACTTTAACATTCATCGTATCTGGGATAAACGGTATTGTAAAAACTCCCTAATATCTTTTAGAATGCTAAAATATCTCTCTATAGTGGCCACTTTATACCTTCCTCATGTTATACGGTCAACATTTAATACAAAAATTAATCTATTATAATCTAGTGACAATCCGAATACGTTCGAATGTAGACGTCGATTAATGAGCGCTACTGTTAAAATTACTTAGAGACTAAAATCTTGTGTCTTAAATGTACATAAATAACCCTCTTATCGATTAACTATGTTTTGTTACGGTGTCTCAAGTTAATGAATTGTTCATTTCTTTTCTATCTTTTGACTTATAAATATCGAAAATTTAAATTAAACTTTCAAAGATTCAATTTTTACATCGTACAAGCCAGTAATTGACTTATACAAAAATCTAAATATCTTAATCTTAATGTTCTGTGCCTTTTGGATTAAGGACAGAAAGTGATTCTTTTCATGTGTCTCACAATGTATTGTATGTGATGTGGCTTCAATAGACAAATCGTGTGCTGAAATTCGCCATGATAAAAACAGATTTTGACTGAGCAATCTCAACCATTTCTTGCGATTTCCAAACACGTCTAAAGTATATAGAGGTTAGAAGCCTTCCTGATACTGTTTTGAATCTAATTTCGCTTGAGTGAGCTCGAGTTGTCTTTTTGCTTCACATTGTGGAAAATTTTGTAGGTCGTAATATTGTGGTGCTATCATGAGTAACCAATCAGCTGTAAAAAAAATGTATATATAAAATCTCAATAAAGAAAAATTTACAGAAGCTATTAATTATAATAAATTGATAAAAAAAAATAATACACTACAAAAAATATCTGCTAATTATAATAAAATACGAGAAAAACTTACGTTTAATATCAGTAACTGTTCTGATATAATTTTTAGTAGTAAGCACAAATTCATTATAAATAACCCATTCTGGTTTGTGATCGAGACAACTGCTCGGATGAAGTTGTACTACCTGATTATCTTTGATAGTCAGGTAATGTCCCGTTCTTTCTAAATGCGCTACCTGTTTAAATAATAAAATCAAAATTTAATTTAAAAAAAGCATAATTGCACAGATATAGAGACACTTATTGCAATGTAAATCGATATTTATGTTACCTGCATGAAGAAACCGTTAACAAGAGCTTTCCTAATGTTAATGTAATAATCTTTTGAATTAAAGTCCGTCGAAGTACGTTTTAATACAAATCTATCCATTATTCTGCTTAACTGTTGTCTTACGTTATCTCCGCTCTTTAATGATCGATAATTTACATAATTATCGTAACACCATTGAACATCGTCCATATCTGTAAACAATTCGTCATTGATAAAGTTATCGAAATATATTTCATGACAAAAATAATAAGTAAGCACTTACGTTGTTTAAAAGAATGATATACATTCAATAGTGTTAGATGATCACCATCGATGTGTGCAAATTTCATTTTTGCATCATCTGCGGCTTTTTTCGATTCATTCGGCCTCACAAAGCACTGTGGGACTAATACCATGTCAATCATCAATATACCATGTTAACTTACCACAATTCTGATTCTATTATTTTACTTTTAGAACTCTTAAATTTTATTTTATATTATATAATATAATTTATTATTATATAATACATAAATAATAATATATATACAATATAAAAATAGAAAATAAAAGCCATTATTAAATTGTTTTGGTAAAGTATTGATAAATCATTAAATGATATTATTGCATGTAGCAAACCTCAATACGTTACCTGAAAGCATAGCAGTAATGCTGAGTATCTCATTACTGCAATTATGATTGCAAGAAGCTATAAGCATCTTTGCTAATTGGGGATCCAATGGAAATTCCGCCATTACTGCGCCAAGATCTGTTAAGTTTCCATCATCATCCAGAGCTGCTAGATAATTCAAAAGTTCTAAAGCTCTCATCAGAGTTTCGGGCGCAGGTGGATCCATAAAATCAAAATGTACCTATTGCATAATATATATGATAAAATCATTATTTATATAATACAATGTGATAGTACTCAAAAGCAAAAATAAACAATTATTATTTTAATAATATTAAATTATGATAAATGTGTACCAAATCATCGATGCCAAGTTTCTTCAATTGCAATACAACGCTTCCAAGATTAGAACGCAAAATCTCAGGATAGGTATTATCTTGCATCTCATTTTTGTACGCCTTTTCCGTATATAATCTGAAACATTTTCCAGGCCTTGTTCTACCAGCACGACCGGCTCTCTGTTGTGCCGAAGCCTTACTAATAGGCGACACCAAAAGAGATTCAACACGAAT